AAGCAAAAAGTTTTAAAAGCCTTCTTCCAACCATCTAAAGTCCATTCTACATAGAAATTCTGGTGTAGCCAGTTGCTATAATTCTCTTTTATGTGACAGTTCTGAGGGACCTGGCTACATGCATCTCCTCCAGGTTACCAGAAGGCTTCTGTAGTTATCATTCTAATACCATGTAGCTATCCATCTATCATTAAACAGATTGGTACTTTTCCTTCACTCCAGTCATTGGCCTTTTTGTATATTTTAATTCAATTCCTTACACAGTGTCTTTTGCATAACGAGTAGTTTTCTTTTCTTTAACATATTTTAAATTTATTTTTACTTATTGATGAGAGAGAGAGAGAGAGAGAGAGATTGATTTGTTCCATTTATTCACGCATTCATTGGTTGCTTCTTGTATGTGCTCTGACTGGAGCTTGAACCCGCAACCTGGGTGTATGGGGGTGATGCTCTAACCAACTGATCTACCCAGGCAGGGCCTAATAGCAGTTTTCATGCTCCGCCCTCCCCCCCCCAAAAAAATCATGGGATTCTTTCATCAGAAAGAAAGCTTAAGTAAAATACATTAGGCTGATCTGCCTGAAACAGTGGAAGTTAAAACTAGAGGTGACCAGGAATATCCCTTGTGTGTTACTGTGTTTAAGCTTTGGGGAACAAGTAAGGATTTTGAGGAAGAAAAGACACAAACAGACTCACATACTTTGAATGATTACTCTGGCAGAGGTTAGGAATGTAGGAAGCAGGATTTTTCCACCTCAAACTATGTCTCTTTAACTTAAGAATTATTCTAGGATGATTATTTTTAAGAAAAAAAAAACAACTGCATGGAAAGCTTTTACCTTTCTGTTTACTGCCTAAAGGAATTTAGATAGAGGAGTTGCACCTGGTCCTGGAAGAACACTATCGCCAGATATACCTACAAAGAATATTGGCTGGGTATGGGCAGGGCTTAGCGAGAGATCAAAGTCTTCTCTGCATCCTATTGTCTCTGCATGGCATGGCAAACATTCCTTTTTCCATCTCTCCGTGAATTGCTTTCCTTCCCTTTAATGTCCCAGGCCTCTACCCCTTTCTCCTTAACTCAGTATGGCTTATAATTGCCTGACTCTCTGTGGGCCACATATTCTTATGGAGCTCCCATCTGTATGGAATTAAATTTGGTTTTCTCCTATTAATGTGTTCCTTGTCAATTTAATTCTTAGATCAGCCAGAAGAACCTAGAAGGGTAGAAAGGAAAATTGTCCTCCCCAACAGGAAGATAGTCTGAGAGGGCCTCGGTGGAATCAGAAAGACTATGACAGAAGATATGAGGAATATAGGCATATTAATTGTGGATGAAAAAAAAACCCAGCTTTATAATGTAACTGAAAGTAACTTCACACAGTGATCTGATCATAAATTCCTAGCTGGGCAGGTCATGATGTGTCTTCACATCCCAGGCTGGTAACTTTTTTAGTGAAAGGTTTTTTAAGTAAGCCCTGTCCATTGCTCTTGTGCATCTAGGCTAACACACCTTTGAAATGCCAGAAATAATTCTCTTTTCCAGTTTCCATAAAAGGAGCACATAACCACCCCCATGGCAGAACATAATTTTACTAACTATCCTGTTCCTTGCTTCTTCCACCTTCACGTAATCTTCCTTACGTTCCTTCCATAATTCCAAATAAAGGAAACTGAAAAACTGACATTCTCTGGAGCAACTGAGATCTTGGTTCCCAGTACTGTTGTTGGTTTGGCTCAAATAAACTCATAAAAATTCTCCATAGGTTTGGATGTTTGTTACATAGACATAAGGATATCAGAATCATCAGAACTTGCTTGTATGGATATGGAGGGAGTGAAAAAGAGGAGTGCTTCTTCCAGGTTTTAGGCTTGGGCAACTATTGATGCAGGAATGCAGGGGTTGTCAAATACTGAAACGAGAAAGACAGGAGGATAAACAGGTTTAGGGATAAATACAAGGAGTTCAGTTTTGAAATAGTGAGTGTGAAGGAGACATCCAGGAATGATCTGGGTAAATGAATGTGGAAATCAGCAGAGTTTGGCTTAGAGACACCGCATATTTCCAAGTCTGTGTTATTGTTTGCAGACCATTCTCAGACTCTGTTTAGGCAACTGCTCAAAGTTCATATTAAGTATGGTTATTTTCCAACTGAATTGTCTACAGTCTTACTTTCTTCCAATATATTCTGCAAAATGAAGCTTGCCTGCTACGCTTGTTACTTTTAGTAACTAATTCTCTCCTTTTCTTTTCAAAGTGCTCTTGCTTATCTGAATTTTGGGTCTTTCTCAGAGTTCTCTGTATTGGCCATATGCTTAAGCACTCAGAGAAAAAGGGAGGGTTTTGTTCAGTTCCCTTTGTCAGAATCATTTCTAATTAGAATCTGAGCTCAAAAGATTTAGAGGCTCTACATAAGGAAATAAGATTTAATAGAATATCATGGATGCAGTCTGCAAAAGGAAAGAGAAATTTGGTTATTACTGTTAAAAAAAAATTAACAGGCCCAAAATGGAGTCACTTTTGCTAAGCTATGGGACCAAAACACATTTAATAACTAACCTAATTGCAGTTTCAGCCTCTTCCACAAGTGGACTTTTAAACCAATCAGTCTGGGATTTTCTGATAAACACTAGTGAGAAAACCTGCCTGATAAGACCCTCTTGCCTTCCTTTAATGTCCCTGCCTGAAGTAATCCACTTTTTTAACTTCTTAGTCTACCTCCTTTCTACCTATAAAAACTTTCCATTTTGTACAATGTCTTGGAGCACCCTTCTAGTTGTTATATGGGATGCTGCTTAACTCATGAATCACTTAGTAAAGTCAATTAAATCTTCAAACTTACTTGGTTGGATTTGTAAGAAGAGAGGTGCTATATGTGATAAACTGGATATATTGTGCTTTGTTTGGAAGGTCAAGTTTTGCTGTATGTTGTTCTGTTACATTTCAATGGCAGTTTCCAAATTTGGGTTTAAACTTTTTTTTCCCCTATTATAGTTTTGTTTACCTTAACATGTATTCTAGACTAAGTATTTGATGATAGGACAGTGGGCCAATAAATGAAGTGTTATGCATAGAATACAAATTAAAGTTTATTGTACGAAATTAAGACCTTCACATTTCATAGTTCACTAGAAGGCTAAAGAAAAACTAGGTAATTTTTAAAAACCTACACAAAAATTTCACTTTTGCTTCCTCCCATCCCCCATCTATGCACTAAAATGGGTTTAAACTCTTGGAGAGGCCACTGGGAGGGAGGACTGCGGAACAGTTGGGACTTCAGGCCCACCACCATATTTTCAGCCTGAGCAACCTAATCTGTTTTACATAAGCTTTCACTGAAGAAGGGTTCCTGGCTTTTTTAAAGTGTAAAAACCACTATGTTGTGCAACACAAGGTGTAAGACATATAGAGAAATTAGTGACAGACAAGGTCAGAGTGAAGGAAAGAATGAGAGCTGTTTAACAATTGATGGACATCTAGGTAGTAGTAGGATGATAACTGAGGAAGGTTTCAGGCAACCTGGAGATGCACAGTAGCTAAATCCCTCAGCACTTTCAGGCAAATCCGTCACCTGGAGGAGAAACACCACGGTCGGAAGCTTGGTTGGGAAGGGAGGGGATGTGATTGATATCACAGAGGGCGAAGGCCCTCCAGGCCCTCTCTTAGAACCAAAATGAACACACACGTGCAGGTTTCTGGAGACAATCCAAAAGGGGTTATGCCATGTGAGAAGAAGTCGGCAGCTGTGATGTCAGAGGCAACGAATTTCATAAAGTTCCTTAAATGGGCCACAATTTTTCTGCCAATTTTTCTCTACATCTGAAACAACTTCCCTTCTTTTCTTTAATTAGCTAACCTCTCTCTATTCTTCTATTACTCAGTTCAAGCATTCTCTGGAACAAGAAGCCCAATAAAATTTGGACGGATGACCCTTCTTTGTGCTAAAAACACAATACTAGAACCTAATTCTAGTCCATTTCAATGTTGATTTACTTCTGTTCCCCCAAATCTTAGCTCCTAAAAGGAAATGCACATTTGATCCTGTATCTTCAAAGCTTAGCACAGTAAGTGCCTAATAAACGTCTGTTGAATGAATTAACCCACAAGACTTATGTTGGGTTCCCTCAGTGCAATGCAGACAGAATTCTTTACAGGTATACTTAACGTGCACTCTTGACTCAGAGAATAGTTTGTAAAAGACATGAAAACATGCCCATGATTGAGGAATACGGGAGAGGTGAAAGATGTAATGTTTTGAAATTTGTGTGCGTGAATAAAGTGAGAGGAGGGGATGCAGCGCCTCTTGAATAAGAGATTACGTGGTTTAAGGTGTCTTCAATGAGGTGACTGATACAATTCACAACTAATGTATTGCAATGTATGTGTTGAGAATGGGGGAGAAATGACACAAAACGATTCGAATTTTCTGGATAGTAAAACAATGACCCCTATGTTGATTGGTATAAATAACTAGCGTCTTGTACAAAAGCTGTCTTTTCCTCCATGCTTTTTCAAAAGTGCCGCCTGCCCTCTCTTGCTGTCCTGTTTTTGGTAAATCAAACCCATCCTCGTTCAAATTAGACAACATATCTTAAAATCTCTCCCTTTAAGTTCAGAGACGAGTCTGGGGCAATGGACTGTGGTCGAGTCCCTTCCTGGGAAGTGGTGGTAAACCCGACTCCCCAACATTTCCTGGGGGGTTCGATGGTCCCGAGGCTGCAGGGGGATAAGCAGAAGCCCCCAGATCCACTGAGTTTCCAAGAGAAGGAGCCCAAGTGCCTAGTCGCCCCTCGGGAAGAACGGTTTCCTTGGGACCCCGCCAGGGGGAGGAGTAGGACGGTGGACAGACCTGGACTGGAAGATCTAACCAACGATAAGCCCTTTCACTACCTGGCCCGCAACCCGGAAGCAGATGTGGGCTGCGCTGCGCAGCCCGGGTTGCGGTTCCGGGTTGGCCGGCTCTAGACTCTCAGCAGCAGCGCCCCGCCCCCGCATTCCGGACCTGGGCAGGCTGTGGCCAGACACTCTGCTCCCGGGGCCACATGGCTGAGGTGGACACTGGGAGCGACCAGAGGCAGGTGAGGCCACGGCGGGGCACGGACCTTCACTCTCGGCTCGGCCTCGCCTCTCCGCCCCGGGTTTCTTCCGTCGAGGGGCGCTGTGGTCGGGCAGCCCCCGGTCCTGCTGTGAGCTGCGCCGTTTGCTTCGCTGCGTTCCGTTTTCCCGGCTCTTATTCTCAACCGAGCGCTCTCAACGCCTCTGCTCCGGTTCTTTGGCGGGCTAGGCCTGCCCTGGACGATGTCATCCTCAACTGTCAGCACACGACTGAGCAGCTTAGGGCCAGAGACAAAAACCTGGGTTCTGCTACTTGCCCTGTCGCCGCTGGGGCAACCTTGGACAAGCCACTTAAGAACCCAATTTCTGCCTTTGCAAAAACGCGCAGTAGTAACACAAATCCTGGAGTTCCCTGAGGGTCTGCTGAGTCTTGTTTTCTCTTGGTACTGAGTTTTCCTCTGTGTGGCTCACGTGGGCGCCCTTAAAGCCTTCCTACTAAGCTATGAGAGGATACAAAGTTGAATGCATGCCTTGCTTCCCGGTTCACCCTTTGGTCGGGTTATTTTTCTTTTTTAACCCTAAACCAAGAGAATAACTTTGGAAGTCTTTGATTACAAAAAAAAACCCCAAAACCAAAAAAGCCCAAAAAACAAAAAAACCCAAACCAACCACCCACTCTCATGCCCCAATCCAAAACAAAAACAGCGAAAGAGATACCCAGAAAGAATTCGGGCTACAGTGGGGGTGTGGATTACCTGTTAAAAAGGAAAAGATTGAGCACAGAAGATAAGTTTATCCTTTCCCTTGTGATCTTGTTCCAGAGTATTGGAGTACATACCTATTTTGCCTCAGCAGTGGTCGGAAACACGGAGTGTAGTAGAAAGGCTGGTTCCAGTCATTGCAATAATGTTTGGTAACCACTAGAACATAGTGACTCGCGGCTAAGAATGTTTGATAATGTTCATTCAGGGATCCTTTGTCCAGACGGGTAATGTTAAAGGCAAATACCTTATAAAGGAATAAAGAAAACTCGGGTTGTTAGAGTATGTACCTTTATTGACTTTTCTTCCTTATCAACTTCTTTCAGAATGAGGAAATTGAAGCAATGGCAGCTATATATGGAGAGGAATGGTGTGTCATTGATGACTGCGCCAAAATATTTTGTATTAGAATTAGCGACAATATAGATGACCCTAAGTGGACACTTTGCTTGCAGGTATTCCCGCCCCCCCTCCCCCCGCTTCATTATAGTCATTTACCAGTTGCCACATTGACTCTATGATTTATTTCTATCGTGTTTCCCTAATGAGTATTCTTTTGTAACTTTTCTAAATTGTCTTTTGTTGTTAGCTTTTGTTAACTATTGATTATCTAAACACATGGATAATTAAATCTAAGATCATTCTCAAGTCATGCTTTAATTGGTAGTCTCAATTTTTTCCTGTTTTTAATTATTTAAGTATTCTTAATGTATCATTGACAGACTTGATTTTCACTTCCTTTCATTATCCTGTCCATTTAATAGGAGAGGATCTAAACCTGGAAGATAGCTAACATTTAAGAGGAAGAATAGGTTACTATTTAGATACTTCATAGAGTAGATACTCATTTTTCTTTTAATTGAGAATCAGTTGCGGTTAGGATTAAATAATTGAAGAGATCAGTGTGCTTTCTGTTTTAATGCTTATTCTTTGATCACTGCCTATACTTTCAACATAAGAGATGCTAAATTGAATTTTTGTTGTATTTGTTTTTATAATAATGCTTTGAAAAGAGAGCTAATGGTTCCCTATTTAAGTGTTAGCTGATAATGTATTTAGCAGTATTTAATAAGAGTTTTTTTTTAGTATTTCTTCAGAAAAATCCCTGGAACATGTTAAAATGCGACTCCATTTAGGGTTAGGGTATAATGAGCCTGTTTCAGTTTTTCCTTTCCTTTCATCTTTGTCTTCCTCACCTTTATTTCTAGGTGATGCTACCGAATGAATATCCGGGTACAGCTCCGCCTGTGTATCAACTGAAGTAAGCTCTATTTTCAACATTTTATAGTTTTATAAAAATTATACTTCTCAAGGATTGTTTCTCTATATTGTAACTTGTGTTTATGAAAAACCTTTGTTATCAAAATGTGTATAGAAATTAAAAATACTTTTCAGATTTGGTATAGAGCATGTAAATAAAAATTTAAATTCTATAAAAACACAGTGAAATATGTCACTTAGTATTTGTAGAGATGGGGAAGGAACTTTACACAAACTAGTAATTTAGAAACCCCGACCCATAGAGTTTCTCCTAACCTGGTTCTGCCACAGGTCTACCGCAGTTCTTTGGCCTGCTGCTGTCTAAGATTGCCTGCCTCCAGGAGTTACCGGCGGTACTTCGGGTGTTTCTTTCTCCCCATTGTTGTTGAGGAACTGTCTTAGCAGCAAAGCTTAATCTTAATGAGTCATGACCTGTTGATAGCAAGTGAACTTTGATTAATGTTGTCTACTTGACCTGCTGTACTGAGATGTATAAACCTGTGTTAACAGAATTGCATTGAATCTCAATTACTAAATTTTTACCTACCAGTGGGATTGTTTTTAGTATGAATGTTTTAAAACCAAAGCAATAAAATTTGCTGTAAATGATGGACTTGTATTTTACTTTTTATTTATTAAAAATGATGGCTGTAATTATAGAATGCTTGTAAACATAAATACCCTTTTCAGAAAAAGTTAAAAATTTTTATAGTCCTGTGGCAATCAGCTTATTTGTTAGAGTTGCTTTTGAGACACTAGTTAGAATACATTGGGAATTTCTAATAGTGTGGAAAATAGTTTAATCTGGAAATTTAGATTCTGGAACCTGTTCTGCCATTTCTGTAAACTTGGGCAGTTTTATGATATCCTATGAACTTACCCCTGTTTTTTAAAGCCATATTTTTAATTGACTAATACTGATGTTGGTTTCATCATGGTTTCCTGGGAGGAATAAATGAGTTAATGCCAATGAAAGCATTTTTGAACTGTATTGATTTAATATAAGGTTTTAATGAAAATAGATAATTTTTAAATGTTAAATAAAACTAATTTGTGATATAATCCATAATTTATACTTGGGATACAAACAAATCCTTGAATAATCTTCTGTATTGTCTTTTTTAATTTTAGTGCTCCTTGGCTCAAAGGGCAGGAACGAGCAGATTTATCTAATAGCCTTGAGGAAATATATATGTAAGTGACAAGTGATTAAAAAAACTTTATTAGTGATTCTGTTGTAGGCTTTTGTTGGAACTGTTATATGTAGGGGCCTTTCTCGAAAAAAATTTAAGGTGCCTTTCCATTAACAAAAAGGGTGCACTTGAGCCCTGGCTGGAGTGGCTCAGTGGATTGAGTGCCGGCCTGTGAACCAAAGCATTGCTGACTTGCCTCCCAGTCAGGACGCATGCCCGGGTTGCAGGCCAGGTCCCCAGTAGCGGGTGTGCAAGGGCAACCACATATTACTGCTTCTCTCCCTCTTTGTCTCTCTCCCTCCTTTCCCCTCTTTCTAAAAATAAATAAATAAAATCTTTTAAAACAAAATCAAAAAGGATGCACTTGAAGAGTCCTTGAAAGATTGTTTATATATTTTTATATATACATTTGCTATTTTAGGCTATGTTGAATGAAACTGGTAACACCAGAATCCTAAGCATAATTATTATTAAAATACTATGTACTTTTAATATGTAGAGTCTGTTAAATATATTGTATTTTTTTACTGTTCCATTAATTCAACAAATAATATATGGCAGGTACTGCAGCAGATTCTGGATACATATAGTTAGCAAAGACAGAAATGGTCCCTGTTTTCATGGCATTGAGAATTACTGGTAGGAGAGAGATTACTTACTACATTGTAAAAATGAATGTAAAACTGCAGCTGTGATAAGTTCTGTAAAAGAAGGATATTAATGTGTAATATTAATTAAGTTTGAAACAAGGCCTGACCGGTATTGTAGGAGGTTAGGGATAGCTAATTTGACTTAACAGTTGAGTTACTTAGGTGACGATAATGCCAGTGAAAGGCCCCAGCATGTGCAAAGGCTTTATGTTAAGGAGCCTGGTACATTTCAAGACAGAAAGTAATGGTTGCATGGAGTGGGGAGAGAGAGGAGGGGAGAGAAGGGAGCATTGTGGGGAAATGACCTGGCGAGGCAAGCAGGGAAGTCAGGCAGAGTACCATAGGCCATGTTAAAGATTTTTTCTTTATCCTAATACCCAGGGAAGCAAAGAAGAGTTTTAAGTGGTGTGATGCTATGATAAGATTTTCATTTTGAAAACATCTGTGTTTCTGTGTGGAGACTGATTGGAAGAGAGGAAGAACAGATATGGGACATCAGTTAGGAGGCTGATGCAGTAGTCCAGAGAAGATATAACTGTGATTTTGGATTAATTTTAATAAGATATATTAAATTAGTAAGGCAAATAATGCTCTGGAATATCAGTTTTACTGTAATCCTTGAATTGGTAAGGATTGTCATGTATGTTCTAGGTTGCTACCCCATTTGGTTTTGTATGCCTGGGATATAGGCCATATTTCTTTTCCTCCCAAAATATTTGATTAAAAAATGATGTGATGCTATTTGTTTCTTCCGAGGGGAAGTGTTGTCTTCCTTGAGTTCCCAGGTTCACGTTTGACTGGATGTAACCAAGAACTGGGTGTACCAATAGGGGATGCCACCTTTTAGTGATTCCATTATCCTCAGCGTTTCTGTATTATTTATTTCCTCAATTAATTGTTTCCTGATGCCTATCTCGAGCCTTATTGGCCACTCCAACTTTGGTGCCCCCAACAAACTTCTTTCTGTAATCCTTTATGCATATTTACCAGTTTATCTCCCCTGTTATAGTAGAGTAAGATAATTATATTGCAAATGTGTTCACCAGTGATGTTGCAATTGTTTTTCATTTTTTAGTACTAACATGGCCTCTGTAAATTGGTGGGGTTGAACACTTCCTTTTCCTTGAAAATCTTTCCCACACTTGGCTTCTGTCATGTTAATCATATTCATCGGTTAAATTTTTCTGTTTCCTATGCACAAGTTCATGCATTCTCCCCTTTCTGTATCCAAAAAGTTCCCCCTTTGCTAAGAGATAGGCTCTCATATGGCACAACTTACTGTTCTCCCTATCTAGTTAAGTTGAGCTGTTTAAGAATTAGGAAGCATCAGAAATTACAAAGTAGTTTGTTCTAAAGACAGAGTATGGTTGATACTGTCTTCTTTACTAAAAATGCGTGAATAACCAAAGTTCAGTAGTATTTTAACACATGTAGTCTAAATAGAAATCCACATTCTGTTAGTTTTGTGTGACAACTTTGAATTGCATTTTTCCATAAAATTCCAGCAGGGGGCAGCAAGTGAACAATATTGGTCTTTGAAAATTAAACATAAGATAAATATATGACTATAGTTATTTAATGTTTATATTTTCCTTATGTTCTAAATAGTGTAACTATCTAGATTTTCATATTAATTTAGCATCATTTTGACTCCTAAGTGATTTTTGCCTAGATAGGAAGGTGAATTATAGTTGGTTTCTTATATAGGGAGGTAAGAAGTCAGAAAACTAGCAATTTCTTAGTTTCTTCATAAACATTTATTGATTATCTCCTTTGTGCTGACACTCTGTTAGATGTTTGGAATTAAAAAAATTAGAAATATGTGTACCAACACAATATCGTGTCATAATTACTGAGAAGTTTGGACCAAGTGCTGTAATAGCATTTTTTTAGATGTTTTAGTAACTAATATTCTCTGGGCGTGTGGGTAAGTTATAAAGGTGGGTTCCATTGTAAAGGTGACTATTGAGCATAGTGTTTGCCAGGTGATCGAAGGGGAAAAGGTTTTCTGATAGATGGGAACTGCCTGAACAAAATCTTGTAGGTGGGAAGCAACCTGGCATCTTCAGAGTTCAGCAAGTAGTTTAAGATGCCAGGTATATAAATTGGGGTAAGTATAAGAAGAAAACACGTAAGCTGGGATAAGGAGTTCGGGCATTATCTTGTAGAAGATTTAGGCAGGGGAATGATTTAACTAGATTTGTTAATCTAGCAGTTTGCAGGATGGGCTATGAAGAGTTTGAAGGAAGGGCATAGGAAGAGCAGTCAGTAACCCAGGAGATGATGGCGGCCTTTATTAAGGCAACAAGAATGCCGATGGAGAAAAATAGTCAGTTAAAGAAATACTTAAGAATATAAACTAGGCTTTGGTGGTTGATTAGGTACAGGTTAGTTTGCTTATCATGTCTTATTTTTGTTTAAATATTTTGCATGTGGATATTTTGAATATATGAAAATAATTTTAATACAACCAAAGGTAAATAACATTTCAGAATACTTAGAACAATTGATATTAAAAAAAAATGAAAGGAATTAGAATTTTTTGTAGCATTTGAATTTATGATGGTACATTTCAACAACATTTAATTTAAAATCCAAGAAAATGATTACGTTCTCACAGCTCTTCACATTTTGATGTATCATGGAGTCTTAGAGTTAAAAGTTGCAGAGTGAGGCTTGTCAAAGCAAAAATTGCACCAAAGTGAAACAGGCAAAAAAGACTCTTTAAGACTGTTGTAATGGAGAAGGGGAGAGTGGCCAGAGCTCAGTCTGCACTCAACTTCTAGAAACAAAAGGGATAAAGATTTTTAAGGGCTGGGATGAGCTAGTACTAGAAGGTGCTGGGGAGAGCTTGATCAATGAGATGTGTCTTGCACATTGTTATTTCCTGTTTGCAAATGAATTTTTCTGTTATTAGGCCATCTGTGTTTGCCGATTATTGCTTAGCAGAATTTAGGCTCCTGTCCTCCCAGAGACTGGGAGATAGGGGCTTGGTCTTCCTTGATGATTACATTTCAAAAAGATGGTTCCCAGGTCCTTGAGAAAGACACTCCTACGTTGTAAAACTGCCATAACCTTCTAAAAAGATACACATATATCCCAAAGGAGCAAAGCGTTTATAACAACTTTCCCAAAGAAATATTCTAAGAAAAGGGAGATCATGGCCTAGAGTCAGGTTCCGCCTGTCTGAAGTTCAGGCAAGCTGAAGTTTTTGTCTTTGAAATAATGTGACATCTTGGATTGTTTTTTCATCTTTAAAATGAAGATAATAGAATAATGTGAAGATTAAATGATGTAATTCATGTTATGTACTTTAGCACTCTATAATGACAGCTCTCATTTTTGTTCTTATTAAAGAATTATTCCAGTTAATTTTGTCATTTTAAGAATGAGATGATGGAAACTCAGAGACATCAAGTAAATTGTCTAAGGTCCTACAACTTAGCGCATTCTAGTGAGTGCTTTTACCCTTATATCGACAAATATAAATATTGGAAAATTAAAGATATAAAAATCAAAGCCACATGTAAAAGTAGGGTCAAAATAACTTTGTTTTGATCACTCTGAATTGGATAGTAGTTATTTAAGTATAGGTATTCATAAAGTATCTCAACTAAATATCAGTTTTTAATCCAGTTTGGTCTTTTATTCTATTTGAAACCATTTTTATTCCAGGCTTTTTATAATTATCTACTTTACCATAATTGAACTTCATAAATAAGAACTCATCATCTAACTCTGTAATGAGTAGTGCTCGGATTTTGCACTCTGAGTCTTTAGGATTTAGCCGACTTCCTCTAGAACTGTTGGAGTCGTGGAAGAGTGGTAGAGGAGGAAGGGCTCCCAGCTTTGGCGTGTTTTAATTTGTTTCTGATTCTGCTGGAGGTTTCATTACAGCAATGGCAAAAGTTTGAAAACAAAATTCTAGTAGATAGTTAAAACATAAGAACAAACTATTGTCACAAGAGAAAACACGAATACAGCAGTAATAACACCAAACATGAAAGTAAACCACTATAACTGGTAGAATTTTGGGGTCCAAGGGAAAGAATAATTTTCATTTTCTTCAGAAAACCTTTCACACCCATTACAAATTCCTTACACTGGGTTTCAGTAAGTCTTGTTAAATATTAGGGAAGAAGGAAGCATCAGTCAGTGCTGTGGGCAGAAGTGCTCTTGTCTATTCTTTTGTAGGAGGCCATGACCAGAGGTGATTTGGAGTTAAGGTTTAATTTCTCCTTTATTATTTGGAAACATTACTTATTGTTATAATTCTTCCAAGATGTGTCTTTTCTCTCCTCCCTTTAAATATGAATGCAAATGTATATTCACAGATGGATGATTTTTCTCTCAAAGGGTAGTTGTAAGGAGTTGAGTGATTTAACAAGTCGTCGTTTACATGTCTTCTATATAGTAGGTGTTCATTAAACACTAGATATTAGTATTACAACTTTTATTGAGGATGATGTGGAGAATTCAATAGAATGATATTAGGACTTGGAGAGAATGACATGCAAAACCATAAATTTGTAAGAATAATGATTACAAACACAAGTAACGGACCCAGTTTTCTCATTTACTACACTATCCCTAGGGTTGCATGTACTGCTCAGTTTATAATATTGCTCAGTTTATAGGCTCTTAAAGATTTGTTGAGTGAATTAAGATAGGTTGACTTAAAAGAAACTACTGTTGTAAAGTAAGACAAGATGCTCTAAATTTCTATCTCATAGATGAGGAAACTGAACCTCACAGTTCAGGTGGCTTTATTCCCTAAAGGCACTACTGCTTGATGGGAGAGCTAACTGTAGTGGGCAACCTGAGCTTTGGAGTTAAGTCTGCATTCACGTTCTAGCTATGGGCTTCTTATTGCTTATAAGACTGTCTTAGACAAGTTAACTGGTGCCTCTAGTTTTGTTTTCTCATTTGTAAAATGGGGAAATAATACTTACTTTATTAGGCAATTATGAGTGTTAAAAGTGTTGATACATAGAATGTACTTTGGGCTTAGTACATAACCCAATTCATTTTACCTTTCCCTGTCTTTGTCCCTCTTAAGTGTTATTGAGAAGAGAGGATGGGAGTGGGATTTGTTATTAAAAAACACTCAGCCAATGTTCTTAAGTTTTTAAAAACCTTTCCAGTTGACTTTTGCTTCCTCTAAGGAGACAGGTTACCAAAGAACACAGACGGATTGTTTTAGTGGTAAGGAGTTATGAGTGAGATAGGGTGGATTTGAATGATTTGAAAAGTATTATTTTCTTTTGAAAGTTTTCTTTGGAGGAAGCTGATGAGTGGTGATAAAGAGAAATAGTGATTTCAAGTGAAGATTTTAGAGGAAGTTGGTGAGGTGTTACGAAGTGGTGTGGTGATTTCTTTACAACTTATCTAAAATAGTGTCATCCCTAAAGAGTAGACACTTGGGCCTTTATTTTATTGCTATTGCCATTATTTAACATAACTCTGTGGACATGAACCATGACACGTTCTTTTTCTCAATGATCCTTTGAGATGGATTTCCAATTATCTGAGGCAGTCAGACATTATTTGGAACCAAAATGAATCAATTTAGATGATGTAGTATTTTGCCCCCCAAAAATGAATATAACATTGTTGCACTGATTGGCTTGTAAATTAGCTTTCTGAGGACTCCCTCAAATTACAGTTCCTCAAATGCTTTGAATTCTTTGTTGAAATAAGCATACCAAATAATAAGTGTACCGAATAAGTGGGTTGAAATTGTCCACAAATTTAGGAAAGCAAGCAATGTGATGTTAACATTGAGAAGCTAAATCGTATTTATCATATTTATATTTATCTAATTTATCCAGTTCAAGTTCATAAATTTTCTTTCTTTTTGGTTGTAACAGTTCTGCTTATTTTACATAATCAATGTTAATTTTGTAGCCAGTTAGAATTTTTAATGTAGATATTAACTATACTAAATACTCATCCACAAATGTCAGTAAATCGCATGTTTTTATAAATTCTTTTTTAAAATTCATGGCTAGATGCATATAATTTATTAGATTGTAAATATGTCTGTATTTTTTGAATTTTAGAAGGAAATTTTTTAAAATAACACTTTTTCCCCTGAATTTTGTTCAGACAGAATATTGGTGAAAGTATTCTTTACCTGTGGGTTGAGAAAATAAGAGATGTTCTAATACAAAAGTCTCAGATGACAGAACCAGGTAGGATTGAAAAATATTATCAGTGCCATTTTAACTTACAGTTATTAAATTTTCACATGGATATTCTAATTGAAATAATGAAAATGTGTTATGGTTTACATATGATAAAATATAAGTTTTTTGGAAAGTTCACTTACTCATGTGATTATGGTTCTTTGTATATGGCTTAGCTTTTTTGGTTTAATAGAAATAGAATTTTATAATTAAAGAACTCAGAACAAAAATTTCTCTCGCTTTTTTTTTTTGACTATTGTTAAGGTAATATGTACCATGTAACATTCTTCATGAATTATCAGGCTGTATAAGATAGGCATTAGCCTCAAATGAGTGTAGTGTTTTTAGAAAAAGAACTTTGAAAAATATATTGAGTGATATTTGGAAATTGATTTTTTTAAAGATGTAATTCATATACCATAATTATTCACCCTTTAAAAATGTATAATTGAGTGGTTTTTAGAATATTTCAAAGTTGTGCAACCACAGCCTCTATTTAATTTAAGGAAATTTGAAAGTTGATATTTTGTTCTATGATTAATATTGTTTTATTGAATCATTATTAAGTATATGACAACATGGAAATTTCTGATGTTTCCTATTTACTTTGCTAGTCTTTTGTTTTACTTACCACAAAGACCTTTTAGAGGAGAAAGTAACTATTTAAACTAATTTTATTTCCAAAGAGTTTTACTGTTATCATTGATAGAATGGTTTTCAATTTGAAAAAATCGGGATTAAAAAAACCCATTTATTTATGAATGGTCTAGAAGGTTATTACAGAGAACCAGTTATTTAGGACTCCCTTAGCAAAATCAGTATACATTTAAAATTGATATATTATTTTTCAGAGCATTTTACTATGTTTCTATAGAAGCAAATCAAAAAGTCAATGGTATGAAGATATTTTGTCCATGTGACAATTTTTTTGAAGTATTTTCCTTAATTTTTTGTGATCCATCAATGATTTTATAGCCTTTTCAGAGCATTTATGAGTAAAGCAGTCTCAAAACAAAATTGATTTTTGCCAATCCACCATTTTAGAATGTGGGATAATTGCAAAAATGGAATGTATACCAGTAAAAATTTAGGACTCTAAAAGTTTGGGATCACTCAACTCTTAGGGAATTTTAAAAAATTACCAATCTTAAAAATATTTTCCCTTTTCCACCTATAGCCATAATTTAGTCATTCTTCACATTTTTGAGTTACTGATTTGTTGTGTACAATTTATAATTTATAGAAATTTTGTTTGGGATGTTTTATCAAAAATTGTTCTTGTAGGCTTTATATTAAAAGGAGAGGATTAGTAATTCTGAAGAACTAATACAAGCTAGTGATCCGGATATCCCTGAGGACTTTCCTCCTTAGGGTACCCACTTGACAAATAATTTATTTTGATTATAATGTTAATCTTCAGTAGAAATTATTCTTTGTTATTTCATATTTTTCCTACTTTAGAAACATTAAACTTTGAAATAATTGCATACAACTACTAACAGTTTTTTTAAAATTCTGAACTAATTTTAGACTTAAAGAAAAGTTACAGAAATAGTACAAAGAGCTCATACTTCTCACCCTGCTTCCCCTAATAACATCTTACATAACCATAGTATACTTGTTAAGAACAGGACTATAATATTAATTACAGAGGTTATTCACATTTCACTAATTTTTACACTAATGTCCTTTCGACTTCTGTAGGATCCTGTCTAGGATTCTATGGTGCAGTTAGTTATTATTTCTTTTTATTCTCTCCTAGTCTCTAAACAGTTCCTTACTCTTTTTTTTTGACTTTTGTGACCTTTTATGACTTCACACTTTTGAAGAGAGTGATCCACTATTTTGTGAATGGCCTTCAATTTGAGTTTGTCCATTATTTTCTTATATTGGAGTAAGATTAGGAATTTTGTCAAGAACACCACAAAAAAAATATTGTGTTCCTCAAAATACATACCAAGGAACTCATGATAACAACATGCTTTATTTTGGGTGATGTTTACTGCGATCCTTTGATTAAGGTTGTATGTGCTGATGTCAGCACTACAAAGTCCCTGTATTAGTCAAAGTTTTCTAGAGAAACAGAATCAATAGGAGGTGTATGTATTTGTGTGGGTGTTTACTTAAAGAGACAGAAAGACAAGGAAGGAGAGGGAGAGACCGATTTATTTTAAGGAATTGGCTCACCAGATTGTCTGACAAGTTCAACATCTGTGAGCCAGGCTGAAGGCCTAGGTAAGAATTGATGTTGCTGCTCAAGTTTGAAGGCTGTGTGCTGGCAGAATTCCCTTTTCCTCTGGGTAGGTCAGTCCTTTTCTATTAAGACCTTAACTGGATGAAGCTTACTCACATTATGAGGGGCAATATGCTTTACTCAAAGTCAACTGATTTGAACTTGAATTCCATCCAAGAAATAAATACCTTCACAAAAACATCTAGAATAGTACTCGACCAAATATCTAAGTTCTGTGGCCTAGCCAAATAACGTATAAAATCTGTTATCAAAGTTACTGTCTTTCCCTTTGTAGTTCATAAGTATGTTGGGAGAGATGCTTGGAGGATATGCTAGTAGTCTGTTCTTCCTCAGACTTTCACTCACTAATTTTAGTATTCACTAGTGCATCTTGTCATCAGTATTTATTACAATACTTAGGTGTTTGCCTACTGGTGATTCTCATTTAATTCTTTCCTTCTACATTTATGAATTGGAATTCTATTGTGAGGAAGAGATTTCTCTTCTCCCAATTTATTTTTTAATTATATATTTATATTAGTATGAACTTGTGTATTATTTCAGTACATGGATTAAAATTTCATACTATCATTATTTTGTTGCTCAAATTGTTCCAGGTGTGGGCTTTAGGAGCTCCTTCATCTAGGCTCCTGTGTTCTTTTGATAAGCTTCCACCCTTTTATTTTGAACAATTTTTTAAAATCTCTGAAATCATAAAATATTCCAGGATCATTTTATGTTATGCTTGCTCCAGCCCTGGAATCAACCACTTTTGTAGAATCCCTGGTTCCTTCTATTGAAGAATGATATTTAGAGACCAATATTAACAGTTTTTAAGTATAATTTCTTACTGTCTTTGTAGATTACTCATAATGTCTCATATCCACATAGGCCCAGACGTAAAGAAAAAAACTGAAGAGGAAGATATTGAATGTGAAGATGATATCCTTTTAGCATGTCAACCAGAAAATCCAGTTAAAGCATTGGATTTTGATATCAGTGAAAATCAAACAGGTATAATATTACTAACTAGTTTCTTTTTAAGAAAGTGGGATGGTAGCATTAGGAATTGATTTTGGAATGGTTTAGCAATTTAGTAAACTCCCACATATTAGGAAGTACTTATTAATTGGCAGAAAATTGAGTTATTTTTTCCCTCCCTGATGGCCATTTTGGTGTTTGCTGGGTCTGTCAGAATGATGAGGAAAAAATAGAAATTTATTTTTATTTTTATTTTTAGGGTTTTTTTGCTACTTTCTTGAGTTTTGAATTAGTGATGGGAGAAATTCAAACTAAGAAAAGCTCTGTTTTCAGTTCACTTTTTAATTCACATATATTTATGTTTTGAAATTCTCAGCTGTCTCCTGATTTCTCAGAGTTAAGTTTTAGTCTATACTAACAAAATAAATATCATAATTAAAAGTACAGCCACTGAATTAAGGCTAGTAAAATGGCTTTAAGATTTTAGTTTTTGCATAAGCAAATTTATTTCATAATATAGTAGTATTCAACCTACAAAAGGTAAATCAGCTCTATGTTAATATCAGAAAATATGTTCCATTTTAGTATTTTAAAATTTTGAATGATATCATCAGTTTTCTCAAGTCTCTTACAAAAATAATAGACCAGTGGGAACATTTTTTCTCTTTGATGGTAAAGAGTTTCCTATGCCATTATTCAGTAGCTTTTAACCAGTACTGTGAAGGTTTAAAGTTCTTGCATGGTGCCTGAGGACTAATGGAAGAGGATGAAGGGGAAGTGAAAGAGTTGGGGAGAGGGTCCAGGACTCCTACCCCTGCCTCAGTCTAAATAGCTTCATTTTTATTCATTTATATTTTTGTAGATTTGGCATAAGTTTTATTTTGGGAAACGAGCCAATATTAAAAGAGCGACAAGCAGTCATAATAAGTGTCCTCTACTTTATATTGACCTTAGTACTGTACTAGAATAGTAGTCACAATCTGTTTATGAAGAGGACACTATCAGGGGGCAGATAAAACATTCTGCATAAACCTGTATTTTTGTGCTAGTCCTACCACAAACCAGTGCAGTGATTTTTGGTAAGTTGTTTAAAGCTCTCCAGAAATATTTTTACATATGTTAGTTGAAATATTTCATCAGTTGTAAGGCAAGCTGACTTGGTAAGATTCAACAGATCAGTAAATAGAAATAGGCAAAAGTTTTAATTATTTTTTTGTGAATAACTTTTCATTTTAAATGATGTAGTTGCAGCAACCAAAATGGTTGGTAAGTTTCTCTTTTTTAAAAATTGAATTTATCAGAGTGACATTGGTTAATAAAATTATATAGATTTCAGGAGTACAATTCTCTAACACATCATCTGTATGATGTATTGTGTGTTCACCATCCCACGTCAAGTCTCCTTCCATCACCATTTATCCCCCCTTTACCCTCTCCTACCTCCCCTGACTCTCTTATGGTTAGTAAGTTTCTCATCAGAATTGAGGATAAATTAGTGGTTCTTAAACTTGTTTAAGAGACAGAATAACAGGAAATTGTGATAACCTATGGAATACCAATTTGGTGTATTATTGATATATTTAATTGAATCCTATGAAGTAGGAACAGTTTTATTGGCAGAATACGTTATATTATAGTTATATAAAATAAAGTCATAGGTTTCCCAACCGTGAGGTCCATCAATAATAGAATGGATAAATAAATTATGGTGTATTAGCAGCTGTCAGTTTTTTCTGGTCTCAAGATCCCTTTATACTCTTAAAAATTAGTCATACCAATTTATACTACTGCAACAATCCCAGATTTGAGTCCCAACCCACCGCTTTCACTGGGTGACCTTGGCAGGTGAAAATCATTTATATGTCAAGTAGATTTATGTGCAAGATTTAGGTAAAATTTGGAAACTTTTTACCTAAAATTATAACTTAATTTTAATAGACAACTATTAATTGCTATTTGGGTTAATTTGCCATATAATTTACATTTCTTTGCTAAATGCCCCCCGCCACACACATACCATTGCCAATTATATTTGAATTTTGTATTTAGTATTTGAATTATGAATTTTAAAAATAAAAGTAATATAATTCTTTCAATTTACAGAAATAGAAGAATTACCTCCGATTGATCATGGCATTCCTATTACAGACCGACGAAGTACTTTTCAGGCACATTTAGCTCCGGTAGTTTGTCCTAAACAGGTAAAGTTACTGTGTCCACTTTGATGTTGTTTTACCAAAGTAATTCAAGTAAATGGTTTTTGCAATAATATCCATATGTTTACTGTTATTAGTAGTTTAACTTCTATTTAAGATAAAAACTATTTGCTCATATTTCTACCCCCAAATTACTGTGAATCATGGAAGATTTGTTTGTCTGTGCCTGCTTTTAAAATTGTATCTAAACTATGACTAGGGCTTAACCTTCTAATAGATTTTCAAACAAGAAAATTATGATGTTTAATAGTTTGTTGAGATATTTATTCTATTGTATGGGAGTTCTAGAAAACCAAGTATGTTCCATGGTTGCCAGTTAAGGAGAAGGTGGGCAGACTGGCTGAGCCCATTCTTCCCCGCTGAGTTCCATTTCCTTTCTGCTTCCTTATTTTATGTGACTTGATTTCCACCAAAGGAAATCAAATGGAAGACTTTTCACTTAAAAACTGTATTCTCAGGTCTTTGTCTTTCTTATTCTCTTTCGAACAAAATCATTTTCTTCTCCCTTCCTGCTATAATCTAGCCTAGTTTAAACTTTATTGCTATAAGGGACAACTTTAATACTACCTATAAAGTGAAATGAACAAAAATATAAAGTCTCACTAACTTAGTATAAGTTTTAAGCATTAGTCTCTTCCCTTTGGTCTTACAGGTACTGTACCCTCTAAGTTCTTTGGAAGTCCTGACCTGTAGAGATACAGCTCTTTGTGCCAGGCTTCCCTTTGACCTTCTCTTTTAGTTCCTGGAAGAGGTAGTTCTTTTCTTCATTGACTTGTGGTCAAGATAACAGCTTTTGGTACAGACTTCTGGGCTTTCCTCTCAGGAACCCTGTTTTGCTCTTGGCCCTTGCTTATATCTTATTGTCAGTGTCCTTCTTAGGCATTCTGTTCTGAATCTCTTCAGCCTGGATCCTCTTTCTATTTTTGATTATAGTCACTTAGACTTTTGGGATCATAATCCATGAGAGCTGAAATAAATCTTAGAGGTCAGTGTCAATTTTATTGATCAGAAACCTGAGCACCTGAAAGGTTAAAAAATGATAAACATAAAATTTCATAATTTCTGATTGAAATTGGTCTCCCTGATTCCAGCTCAGTCTTTCTTGCTTCCAGAATTTCTTCCATACTCCTTGCCAATTACCCTTCTGAATGATCTGACCATGTGTCTTCCATGACCCCCTCACATAGGCCTTACAGGTTTCCATTGTCTACAACGAAAAATCTAACCTTGTTATACAAAGTCCTTTGCGATGTGACCCTAGTTTTATCATTCCTGATGGTTACTTCCTGAACCTTTCTCTTCTATGTCCTTGCTAGGGTTGCTAGGTAAAATACAGGATAACTAGTTAAATTGAATTTCAGGTGAACATTATTACATGGGACATACAATGACAAATTATTTGTGATTTGTCTGAAATTTCAATCTTTATTTTTATTTGCTGTATCTGGTACATCTGCACATGCTCTTTCCTCTGAGTGTAAAGGCTTCTTCCTGCCCCACGTCCTTCCCATTTGACACAGAAAAATTGCCACTTCTCTTTCAAGATTTGGGTCATGTTACTTCCTCTATCAATCTTACATGACTCCTAGAGAGAGTTTTAATTTTGTAACACTTGGAACATACCATTATTGTGTACCTATCATACTGGACACATAAGTTTGGTAAATTTTCAGAGCTCGTTTTTAGAAACTCTCATACTTACATTTAAAATTCCCTGTGTGGGAGAAAAAATGTATGTTCCAGTACTCTAGGCATGGTTAGTGCTAAAATATTTGTTGATAATTGGTGTTTAGAAACTAGGTCTGTTATTTTTATACCAATTGTAAATACCAGTTTCTGCCCTTGAAATGAGGAGAAAATTTTGGAAATGGCTTTTTCAGAGTGTAGAAGATTCTTTAGATGCCTTTCAATACCACAGTATTTAAATCAGTATGCTTTAAGATATTTTTCTAGTATTAATTTACAGAGAAAATAAAAAGTATACATTTATTTATGTATATTACTATTATTTTTAAGGTGAAAATGGTTCTTGCCAAATTGTATGAGAATAAGAAAATAGCTAGTGCCACCCACAACATCTATGCATACCGGTGAGTGATCATCACAATTTTAGGAATGTGCACTTTGTAAAAAATGGAAGAAACTGATACATGATTTAATAATGACTATTACATATTTTTTCCATTATAAAAGTAATTATGTATAAATTATTTGGGAACTGCGGAAAAGAAAATAATCAGAGGGAAATCAGCCATTTTCTACCATTAAATGTACCCAATAATATTTTGATATGTTTTCTGCCTTTTCTGTGCAAAGTTTATTTTTTCAGTGCTTTACCCTAGTATACTGTTTTTTCCTAATTTACAAAAACATTTTTCCATGATATTATAATTGCTTTGTAAACATTATTTTAATGATTGTATATTTGTTTGAGTCTCCAAAGTACAATTTATTAAGCATTCCCTTTTTGTTTTAGTTTTTCATATTTTTCACTATTATAAAGAATAGTTCTGGGAACATCTTTGTTTATTTTTTATTTTTTAGATCATTTCCTTAGGGTAGGTTCTGATTGCTGCTGATTCTCTTTTGAACTGAAATGGAAGTACAATTATAAATGAAGGAAGAATAGATTCCTAGAAGTAAAATTATCAGAAAGTATGAACATTTCTGAAACTGATTCATATTGCCAGTTCTTTTCCAGTTTTTATTTTAAACAAATTTATGCTTCCATTAGCGATGAATTAAGAGTGCATTTTTACTACATGCTTTTACTTTTGAGTACTAAAGTTTTATACAAATTTTTGCTGATTTGTTAGTAAAGAGATAAAGGGTCTATTTTTAGATATGCAAATTAATAGACAAAATAGTTTAGGACTGACATAAATCAGAATATAAACAGGGATTTTGTATAAATTTAAAATGTGACTGAGATTATTTGTAAAATCGAAGTTATCTAAAACAAAAAATTCATCACTTTGTATAGATGAGCTTTTAATATTAGTCACATCTCTTTAAGTGCTACAACTTTAAAAAAAACTATTTGTTATATACTAGACAGAGTTTAGATGTTTTCATATGATTGTGGGTCATCAGTGTAAAAATGAGGAATAGATTGTGCTTGCTCTCAGTGATTAGAATGTGCTTTACAAGTATTAATAGTTACCATTCATTCATCCCACATGTTTACTGAGTGCCTCTTCTGTGCCAAGCGCTTTACAAAAGTTAATTCTGATTATTTCAGCAACTCTGCCACTATAGAAAGGTTGGTTTTTTCAAGAGCACATAGTTGTTAAGTGGTAGAGCTGAATTTGGTAATCTAATTTCATTTATCTCTATTTTATTCCTACATGGCTGTGAGTCTGCACCTTCAACAATCGCTGTACATAATAATGATTTTAAATTATCAAAAAATTAAATAATGTGCCGGATATTCTATTTCAAGCCCCAGATTTTTGGGTCTTTAATTTCTTGTGAGTATTTTTGTCCTTTTGCATATTAATAGATGATCACCTGTCACTCCTCACACATGTCAGCATGACTACATGTAGCAGTCCCTCTACCTCACTGCCTTACGTAATTGATACTTGGGAATGAAAGATGGCCTTGTCGGAATTGTGTCAGATAAGACTAAGAAGGCACAAAGTGGAGGCTTGAAAGACCCCATTGGGAGTAAAATAAATGACCTTATTTGGTACGTGGACTTTGTGTTGTGTAGATGTAGGGTCCGGCACAAATAACGCTTTTTTATTACAAAATCTTTTATTACAAAATCACAACCATATAATTCTGTAACATAACAATGTCACACTCAAGCATACCATATGACATTTTAGATGAAGTGTTCAAATTAAAACTATAAATCATCACACCTGTAATTATTACCCTACCAACCACACTCAAGCAGGTGTTACTTCTGCCGGACCCAGTATTTTGAAAGCTTAGGGTCCTTTTAAGGTTCCTTTCCGGTTTGGGGGCCGTATTCCTGCTTTAGAGTTGTGGGACCCCCTTCAGGCTACTGGTACACACAGCTATCAGTGCCTCATCGTTATCTTTCTGGCATGTGTGAAAACGTCTATGGTGTTTCATTTTTTTTTTTTTTAAATCTAACAGTACTGATTTATATAGCCAAATTTTCTTTACTTGTTCCATAAGATTATTGTGTTAAATTGTAGTTATATTTAAATAGTTAAAAATATAAATTATATATAAGTATACCTTATATATAAATTTCACTTATTTATATATACAGCCTAATATAAATGTATTTGTATATAATATAACTATATTCATATATGTAATGCCTAATATAAACCAGCCACTGACTCCTTTTTGCCCTAAATTTGTCATATAAAATTATGTTTAATAGTACTAATTTTTCTTCAGATGAAGTCAACTTTAAACAATAATAGAGTCTGGTCATAGCAAGTGGGTGGTAAATATTGAGTGAGTGAGTGAATAGATGGATTGATGGATAGAAAGGTGAATGAATGAATGAATGAATGTGATTGCTATAATAAAAGTATTATAATTGACTTAGGTGTATAGATAAGGTAGTATCTCGCTTTTTACAGCCATATCCATAAAGTTAGCTTTGTTACATTTGCCTAGTGGATGGTACCATTTGTAGAGGCCACATCCACTATTTGGCACACCTTACCTGGCACTATTTTCTTTTTATACTTGCATTTATTTGTTGAGCTTGTCTTACTATAATGTAGCTGTACATTATTATTCCAGATGCTAACTTTCTAGATAAGTTAAATGGGTAAAAGTACCATGACTTACCTTTATTGATAACTATACAGGGTAAATTGTAGAGAAAAAGAAATCCTATAATTCTTACTCAGAATGGGGAAGATAGAAAAATACTTGATGGTGGTATAAGATATGAGGACTAACTTCTGTTGGTTTTAACACCTCCATCTTTCTTACATACTTTTTGTCTCTCACTAGATCTTAGGATCTTTGAAGACAGGAGTATGTCACTTATTTCTTTTATATCATTTCTTAGTGTCCAATATGTATAATGTTTCTATATGATTTACTCTCAAATGTTTTTCAGTGACTTCTCTCTATAACCTCAAAGTTTCAAGGTTAAATGTGTAAACTCACCTTCCCATAATCGCACTGTTTCTTGATAAAGGGTGGCATCCTTGATTCCTAGCTTTCCCAAATATAAAAAGTGAAACATACTAAATAGTACATTTTCAATGAAAATATAATAAATATATATTTCAAGAAGGATTTTTAAAAAAACAAGTAATGCTGATTTTGGACGTAAATTGTTTGCAACTAGTATGAAGGAGTAACTTTTATTACCATATTTTGAGGTTTCAAAGTATAACATTGTTATATGTATTTCTAGAATATATTGTGAGGATAAACAGACCTTCTTACAGGACTGTGAAGATGATGGGGAAACAGCGGCAGGTGGACGTCTTCTCCATCTCATGGAGGTAAGTGCAACTGAAATCCTGTTAATCCTCTTCTATGAGCCATAACATTTCTCAACAAAACAGAGCTCCATTGGGGAATAAGTAAATCAGTTAGACTGTATAACATGGTATATTTGGCTTAATTAATAGTTAATTTTTAAACACTGACAGAAAATTTTAACCACTGGATATGGGGTAGAAAACAAATGTGCTAATCAGGCTCTTTCATTATAGACTGTAGAAGATTGTTTATAGCTTTGGAGAAAACTTTCTCCATTTTGTTTTTTTGACAGTTCCCTCCCCTATATCTTCTCCATTCTGTCTTTGTGAAAATCCTGTTAGTTGGATATTGGACCTTCTGGATAGATCCAGAATGTTACCTTTTTTTTTTTTTTTTTAAATTAAGTTGTCCATCTCATTGCCTTATGTTCTGAGACATTTTCTTGATTGTCTCCTAAAATTTCTATTGAATTAAAAAAATTTTTTAGCAACCGTGTATTTAATTGTGAAGAATTCTTTTGTATTTTCTATTTTTCTTTTTCATAGTGGGCTGTTCTGGTTTTATGGATGTAATATCTCCTAAACTTTCCAGATTATACCAATTAGTGTTTTGTTTTTTTAAAGATGTTCTCTCAGATTTTTTCCAGTCCATTTTAGTTTGTTTATCTTGTCCTTTCTCTTTCATGCTGCTGGATTTTCTTCATCTGTCTGGTGATCATTGATTGTCCATTAATTTTAAGAATGGATTGTTATTTTTTCTAAGGTAGTTGCTATAGTTTCTTACGCTATTGTACGTGGAGGTGTTTTGCTAACCTTGATAGGAATTCTGCCTGTGGGTCAGGCCTGTAGACTGGTGGGCTTCACATTAAGAGCAGCATTTGACAAACATCAAACTAAGGAAGAACTTACTGGTAGGCAGTAGTGATTACTCATGAAGCCCCAGTTCTCTGTAGTAGTTTGTTTAGATGCAAGATTTGTGTTGTTTGACCTAGGGTTAAAGGCTACCTAAACAGTTTTTCTGGTTGAAGTCTCCAAGAATTGGAACCCTACCTGCATGACCTCCCCTTCACTCTGCCCTGTTGCCCCAAAGTGTGGAATTTGAGGACACTATGGAGTGTAGTGTTTGTTTTCCAAATTCCCTTCTTATTTATAACACTCTGTCCCCTGAATTGTTAGTAATCTCACTCTACTCACTCGTGGTTCTGCTAGTAAGATCACAAGGAAATTTTATATATGAGTTATTTCATTTGCCTTTAAAACTCCCGTTTGTACATGTCTATATGTATATCTAATTATGCTTCTGAAAATAACAGATTTTGAATGTGAGAAATGTCCTGGTCGTAGTTTCACGCTGGTATGGAGGGATTCTGCTAGGACCAGATCGCTTTAAACATATCAACAACTGTGCCAGAAACATATTGGTGGAGAAGAACTACACAAATTCACCGGTAAGTGATTATTGATATTATATCTAGAGAGTTTCTTACCACTGCCTGTGAAATTAAAAAAAGAAAAAAAAGTTAAGAATGAATAAGAATTTGTGTGATACAAGAGAAAAACCTTTGGACTAGGAAACTATAAACTTAGGTTCTGGCCAAAACTATGTGACTGGCCAGTTGTGTGACCTTGGGTAGATGGCTTCTTCTTCTCAAACCTTAATTTCATAGATTCATGGAGTTTCATAAGAACCTCAAAGACCAGTGAGTTTCCGTTTCCTAAAATTGAGGCCCAGAGAGGTTGCAGCTAATGCTACGGTGAACTAGATATTCTCTAAACAGCTATAAAATTCTGACATTTTCTGTTACTGTCAAAGCATTTACTCTTTCCCTGGCGTGCCTCTAGATGCCTTCTTCCTCTGTATCTTGAGGGGTGTTTTTTGTTTCATGTTTTATAACTATGTTCATTTCTATTGTATTTAAACCCTGATGCCTTAGTTTAGAAAGTGGACAATACAGTAAATAATATTAAAATTATTTAAACATAAATCTATGAGATATATGAGTGCTTTCCTTGATTATCCTTGACTGTTTTGTAAATATATTAATAAACAGTAAATAAAAGTGTTTTATGAAACAGAAAGATGATATATATGGAAGTAATTATACTTTCTCTATTATACATATTCTATATGATTAGATTTGATGTCCCTAAGCCAGTATCTTCATATGGGGAGGTACTACACTGATTTTTGTCTTTTTTCAGGAGGAATCATCTAAGGCTTTGGGAAAGAACAAAAAAGTAAGAAAGGACAAGAAGAGGAATGAACATTAATACATGAAACTACATGAAAGGTTAATTTGCCTATAATTATATACAAATTCCACACTCATCAAAGAATATATTGTGCAGAGAGAGGATCCGGGATTGCTCCAGTTAGCCAATTCATCATGGACACCAACATTATCTTCTCTTCTTTGGTTATATCATCTGCCAAAAATAGAGAGCTTGTGATATATTCACGCGTGTTTCAGGCTGACTCGGAAGACTTAATTTGAACTTAATCACCATTTCACCTAATTGTAGGAAGGTAACAGTTGCCCAGGGCAGTACCTGAATTAACTGTCCATTTCAGTACATGTCAAGTGCCTTTGTTAGGTGGGGAAGAAATGTCTCTAGAGGAATATAAATATCTGATTTCTTGTCATCGGTATTCTCATTTTGTTAAATGAATATTGCCTTTTACTGCTCTTTATGGCTTATTGGAATAGGAGCTCACTGAAGATTGATCTTGGAGAGTTTCTTCTTGTGATTTTAGTTCATAAGTATGTCACCTTTCATTTTATAGTGTTCATCATTGAGTAATGGATTGAGTGAAGTTTCGGGAGTATCCATCTGCAGCTATGTGCTGAAGCAATTCATCTAACATATTTGTTAGCATAAGTGTTATACCTCAATTTCTGTTGCAGATTGGTGATTGTGAAATTTCAAAAATGATTTTTCTAGCCTCTACCTTTTTTGTTTAATTTTTGTAATGTAAAGCAATAAATGTAGAGTGTTAGTAGTCTCCTCCCTCCCCGCAAGTGTGTTGGTGTAATAATCTGGTTTCTTTTAACAACCTGGAAGTACCCTTCTTGTGCTCTTCATTGAGGAATTAGGAGTGTGCTGGAAGATGCACTGTGGTTAATGAGGCCCAGATGGGACGGAGGCGGCAGCACGGCACTGGTGAGGGTGTGTTGTGCTGTTACAGGAATGTGACACAGGTTTCCCCTCTGCATTCCGGCCCTCTTAATTCCATGACTTTGTACAGAGAAGGAACAAACCTTTTGATTGGAAAAACAAAGGAAATTCCTCTTTTTTCCCTATTATCAAATGTACCTTTCCATCAGTGTTTCATGTACCTTCTTGCATCTGCAAGTTGTGTGATTTACCTCTAGGCATCTAGACAGTAAATTTACCTTGTGACATAACAAGTCATTACCTGTTCCCTTTCAGATATGACCACAAACAAGCGTGAAAAGTTAATGGATCACACATTTATCTGGGATTCCCTTCCAGAGAGAGGGAGCAGAAATTAGGAGGCAGCTTATAGTGGTGCTAGACACGGACAGCATCAGAGAAAAGGGGACACAGACACATGTTTTATTCCTATTCTCTGAGATTTTACCTGAAAAAAAGTCAACATCCTTACTTGGTATTTTTAATAAGAATTTAGTAAATATATTTACACTAGGGTGGATTCTGAGAAATAAAATCTAAATTGTATTTGTTGTAAGTGTGTTTAATGTTGCCAGTTATAAAATGTCATCAGAGGATGAGTTATAAAATGTCATTGGAGGATGACATACATGTATTTTGGACACTTACCTCAGATTCCATGAATAATTATGTCTTATATTAACTTAAAATGAAGTTAAAAACCATTAACTAAAATTAAAATAATTTCACAATTTTGGCATATCAAACCTGTGATAGAAGATATAAAACACTAAGAATTTGGTGCTGCAGAAAAATAAGTGAGTTCATTTTTCTGCATCACCAAATTTGCATTTCTTTCTTGCTGTTTTATCTAATATTTATTTCTTTATAGAAAACCTTTATATCCGGGATTTTGTTTTTATTTAAAAACAATATTATTTTTGCTTCTCTCTATAAAATTATTAACCACATTTTCCTGACTAAAAATCCTAATCTCCTTTGCCCATAGCCAACTAGTTAATAAGTAGAGTCTAAAAGTCTCTAATTCTGGAACCTGAGTTATTTCACACTCTTATTTATACAGACACTGATAATAGTTATCTTTTTTCTCTATTTAAAATTTATCTTGATGAGAGGATTTTCAGATTCTCCAAATAATTTTCTATAGCCAAATAAATCTGTGTGGTGGCATATTTTGTAGTATATTGTGTTTGTTAAACATACTCTCCATATGCCAGAATATAAGAGCAGGTAGCATCTACTTTTTAAATGGGAATAGCAATATGATTTGGAGGTATATATCATGAAACAGAGCCTGTCAAGCTAACCACAACTGAGAAAGAATAGCATGAAGCAGATAGTGTTTGTAGGGATGGTGAAATTTATTGGGAAAATTGTAGAATTGCCTCTAATCCCACTATCTAGAGATAACTATTAGTAATGTTTGGTATGCACATCCTTCTATTTTTTTCCTGTGCATGATTTTGTACATATGCTATTTTTCTTTCCATAAAATGGTATTAAACTGTATATACTGTTTTGTATCTTGATATTTCATATAGAAGTATATTGTTAACATTTTTCCCATGTCAATAAAAATTATTCTATGGTTTAATTTCTGATGACTACATCATATTCTATCTTCTGGGTATACCATAGTGTACTATCTAATGGCTGCTGGTCTCCAATTTTTAAGTTTTTTCCAATTTTTCACTATTATAAACAACTATGAAAAATCATTGTATGCAGATTTTAATATATCAAGTTACTTTCTTAGGAAAAATTCCTAGAAATGCAATCTCTTGTTTTAGCCAAATTACTCTGTAGCATAGTTTATCAGCTATACTCCTGTCAGCATTGTGTTAGAATATACGTAAAATGCCAGTCAAAGATGTGGAAAAATAGGCAGTCTGATAGGTAATAGTAGCAATAATTTTTTTAATTGATGTTTTTTGTTTTTAACTATAGATTCACAAAAAGTTACAGAAATACTGAGCTTTTCCTAATAGTAACATCTTACATAACTGCAGCATATTAATCAAAACCAGGAAATGCATTATGGATGCAAGTTCTTTGGCAGGTGTGTGATTTTCATATATTTTCTCCCAGTTTGTAGCTTTTCATTCCCTTAACTGTTTCTTGCAGAGTAAAAGTACTTAATTTTGTTGAGATGTAATTTATCTTTTTTTGGGAGGCAAGGGGTTGTGTTTTTAGTGTAATGTCTAAGCACTCTGCCTAAGCCCAGGTCATGCAGATTTTTGTCTATTTCTCTTTTTAAAGTTTAAGAGTTTTATGTTCATATTTTAGATCTATTATCTATTTGCAGTTAATTTTTGTATGCGTAAGATTTAATTTGAACTTCATTTTTTATATGGATGTTTTAAATCAAACTTTATTATGAATTTTCATGAAATAAAGTTGAATAACCAGCACGTAGTTTGAAAAAAAACAAAACAAAACAGAACGACAATACCTGCACCCCAGTCAGTCCTCCTTGTGCCTCATCCAGCTGTTCTCTCTCCCCAGTTTCTGACACCAGAATTAATTTGGTCTGTTTTGACTTTTACATAAATTCAAACACACAGTATATACCCTTGTTTGGGCTTCTTTTGTTCCAACATTTTGTGGTCTCCATTTGGTTTGTTGTATGTAGCAATTCTTTCTCATCATTGCATAGAGTATTCCATTGAGTGAACATGATAATTTATCAATTCTGTTTATGGATATTTGGGTTTCCAGTTTGAAGCTATTAATACTGCTATGAATATTCTTGTACATGACTTTTGGTCAACATACACACATTTCTAACACATACATACTTAGAAATGGATTTGTTAAGTCATGTATATATGGAACCTTAGTGTACACTGCCCAGTGGTATGCTGGGAAATTTCAAACAACTGGCTCTGGGGTGTGTGCTCATGTATAACGTGTACCAGTTCTTGTGGTCTGAATACCCACTTTCTGTCCAATTTCAGGCTACCAATGCGAAATCAGCTGGATCACAAAATTCCTTAAGACTTAAGTCACTTTTTGTGACCTTAAATACCCACCAATCATACTGCCAAGCAGTTTTCCGAACTAGTTACAACTATTTGCACTCCTACCGAGTGGCTGCATGTCCACATTTAGTATTACCTGACTCTCATTTTAATTGTGCCATGTGGTTTGTGGTGGCATAACTTTGTGGTTTCAAGGTGCATTTCCCTGATGACTTTTGAAACTGAACACCTTCGGCTACTACATTTTATACCTGAAGTGCCTGAACGACCTAGTACTGACGCATCCCCTCCTCCCCTGACCCCTGATTCCAGGAATGGAAATACAGACGTTTCTTACGAAGATCAATTTTGATTCAGACACAGAAATAACATTGCAATTTTGCATACCTTAGCACCTAGTCGGTAAATTTCAGCACTTCTACACCACCCCACTGGATACTAATATGCAAATTTATAGGAAACTTAATCTTTTTTGCTCTTAGTTTCCTAATTTGTAAAACAGTGAATGATTCCTCCCTCTCTGAAATATTTATTGCAGTCAAATGAGGTGCCATCCACGTGATAAGCATTCAGTAAAGCCATCAAATAGATACTAGCTTTTCTTTACTTGTACGGGAGAACTTTCCTACCTCTTATTAAAGATAGGCTATTTCTGAGGATTTTGCCAGAACCTAGAATTTTAAGTTGACATTGGGGTTACCAGGTTCTTAGGATCCAGGGAGACAGTATAGCCTGGCAGCTTAGAGCTGGGTCTCAAGTCTGTCAGGTTTGAATTGTCTGCTTTTTGCAAGCTTTGCAAGCTGGGGCAATTTACCTACTTTCTCTGTTTTTAGCTTTGAAAAGCTTATGAAGAGCTAAGGAGGCCATGGGCTGATATGGAAAGACTGCTTAGTTATGGAGATGCAATGGAGAACTCTGAATCTAGTCCAGAAGTATGGAGCAAGGGTTGACAGACTTTTTCTGTAAACAGCTAAATAATATATTTTATATTTGGAAGCCATCTCTGTCACTGCTCCTCAATTTGCTGTATAAAAGCAGTCATAGACAACGTGTACACTTAAAATAGCATAGCTGTGTTCCGATAAAACTTCATGGGTACTGAAATTTGAATTTCACATATTTGCATGTGTCCTGAAATATTCTCTTACTTTTTTCAACTGAGTAAATATGTGTAAAGGAAAACACTGTGTATCTCCTCTACTTTCAGAAACTCTACTCACAGAATATGTCAGTTCTGACGCTAGATGTGTAGATTTTCCACACATGAAGTCATTTTTTTTTTAAACCAGCGTGGTGTCTTACAATTCAGTTCCGTTCCGACACTGTCTACTTGCAGATAGCACTCGATTCCCCAGGTTACGGTCTCAGTCCTACCACACCGTCCTTGCCCCCATTTCAGATGTCAGTGGCAAGTCCAGGTTACCACCTGTGCCTCAGACCAACTGGCTGTAGATTGGAGGTTCCCAGGACTGCCTCCTCCAGTTGGTTGACCTGCTATAGTGGCCCAAAGAACTCAGGGAAACATTTTTCTAGATCACTGGTTTATTATAAAGGGAAGAAGCCTGATGAAAGAGATGCGTAGGGCAAGGAATGTGGAAAGGGGCGTGGAGCTCCCATGCCCTCTCTGGGCTTGCCGCCCTCCCTGCATCTCCGTGTTAACTGCCATGGAAGTTCTCCAAACCCCATTCTTTTGGGGTTTTATGGAGGCTTTATTACAATATGTAGGAATGATTGTTTACAGTGTTGGCCACCGTGATTGAGTCAACCCCCAGCCTCTCCCCTGTCCTCTCCTGAGATGGATTGGGGCTGAAAGTTTCAATCTAATAATCATGTGTTTTGTTCCCCTGCCAACTACCCCTCATCTTTAGGGCATTTCCAAAAGTCACTGCATTAACTTAAAGTCAGGTGTGATTGAAAGGGGCTTATTACAAATAACCAGACACTCCTTTTACCTTTATGGCTGTGGAGCTATTTCAGGAACCAATGACAAAAGACAATATTATAACAAAAGATGTTCCAGTACTCTTATCACTTAGGACATTCCTAGGGTTCTAGGAGTTCTGTTCTAGAAATGGGAACAAAGACCAAATACATATTTGCAATTACAAATCACGGTATCACAACGTATAAAAACCATTTTTAGCTCAGAGACCAAACTATGGTCTGTGAACCATAGTTGGCCAACCCCTGGTGGAGACCAGGTAGGAAGAGGTTGGTTAAAAAGTGTAAAAAGTGTACAGCAGTGCACCTTGAAGCCAAGGGGTAATTTAGTTTTGAAAGTGAAAGAAAGGATGTTGACAGGACTGAATAATTTGTCTGAGGTAAACTCCAGAACAAAAAAATGCCTATAGGATTTAACTAGATGTTTGCATGGCATTGTTCTGAAGGAGAGAGACTTCCTTGACGTCCCTGCTGCCAGCCCCCTGACCTAGGTCCGGTCTAGAACAGAAATTGCTTTCCGTAATTCCCTGAGAGGCTATCTGACCAGCTTCTCCCCTATGCCTCTCGGCATGCTGGTTCCTGGACAGGGCCATTGTCCTGCTCTGTGCAAGCACGTAAGACGTTTTCCCTTCTCTGGGGCGGGTTAAGCACCAGTACTCTTATCCACCCTGCCCTGTTCTCTAATTCTTCGGCACCTGCCCAGAATTACGGAGAACCACGTAGTCTTGCTGACACCCAAGATGCATCTTGTATGAAAGTGTCCCTTGCTAAATGCTGTTAGTTGCCAGACAGGTGGTCTGCCTCTTTCTTTGGTCTTTCCCTGCCTTCAGCACATGGAGGTAGATTTTCAGTCTCAGAGCTTTTCCCTGGGTCTGCGCGTATAACAATCATGGAAAAGAAAACGGAGTATAAAGCTCCAAGAAAAATAAGACCATAGTATGGACAAATTAAGCATCAATGTTGATTGATTCTTTTGGGGAAATTTTTCTCCCTTAAACCTCATATTTCTAATTTTTTGTTTTATCCATTTCTGATTCTAGTAAAAGAATGTTCAAAAACTAGTAGAACTTATCGGTCATGACAACAAAAGCACAGGCAAGGAAAGTAAATATAGATTAAATTTGACTATAAAATAAAACTTTCCACCAAAGGACACAACTGACAGTTAAAAGGCACCCATGTAATGTGAGAAAATGTTTATAAACTATATTTCTAATCAGGGGTTAATCTCCTTTGGTCTTACTACTGTAACTCATGCCTCCTGACCTTCCACCTGCCAGCGCCTGCAGCTGTTCATTTAGATTACTAATCAGTGTTCTCCAGGTTCAAGTGGATATATATTCTCGTAGTTTTCTCCAGGTGTTCAAAATAGCTCTAGTCTGTGAAATTGAAATCAAAAGACATAGGCATATTAGCATTATTCCATAGAGTTTTAGAGCTTCTATCTGTTTACCCACTTTGAGAAAACAGGCCACTCTTAGGAGTATGTGTATGTTCATTGGGCTGGCTGTTGTCTGGTTTGCTTCTTGGCTATTCAAAAAAGATGATTTTGGCAACCAGAGTGCTTCACCCAATGGGCATATTAGTCAAAGCTAAGGGAGAATAGTATTATCCTGCTCTATGCTTCTTGTAAGGCACTAAAATGATACTAGATTTTCCATTTTGTAACACCCATTTATTAGCTACCCTCCCTTCAGCAACAGTTTCACTTTTGTTCCATTTATCATTAATTTAAATTCAAACCTTTTCCCCTAACATAGGTTCTCCTGGTTAAGTCCTTGGGCTGGTCTATATTGCTGGTAGCAAGCTGAGATATTACAGGGTTCTAGTTTGGTCTAGTCCCAACCAGTGAGATTATCTCTTCAACAAGGCAAAACCAGTTGTAATGGCCCCAATTTAGCAAGGTGCAGGGAGTAGATAATTAATTTCATCATCTCTTTGGCATTTTTGCATTTAGGTTCAAATTAATATACATATTACCTTGTTTCAGAATATTAGACTTTGGAATCCTAATAGTAGCTCTGATTTTAGGGTCTACCAACTTACCATTGAAGAAGAAAATTATGGTGAAGAAAGACTTGTATGTATGTTCCATCCCTTACCACTTTCCCTCTCATTCCACCACAAAGTGTAGTTTTCTCTCTAGTGGAGACCCATTTTCAGTCTTCCCTTCAGCACTGAGTTCTGTCCGGTGTTCCCAGACTCTCAGCCCTATTTCCCCATCTCAGGGAACCTGCTGGCCTCCTCCCGGACGTCCCCTCTGGCTCTGTGCCCTGGAGACTCAAGATAGGAGACTGGGCCTCCTTGGGTCTCCTGTCTGCATGTCTCACTGAATTTTCTTCCCTTCCCTCATCTGGACAATGGCTAATATGCAATGCCTTGAAAACCATCATTTCCTATATGTTGTCCAGGTTTTTTTTTTTTTTTAAGATTGTTGGTTTATTATAAAAGCATATAACTCAGGAACAGCCAGATGGAAGAGAAGTGTAGGGGACAGTGTGGGGTCAAGGACATGGAGCTTCCATGCCCTCTCTGAGCATAGCACTCTTCTCAGGTCTCTACATGTTCACTAACTTGGAAGGTCCTCGACTTTCTAGCTAACCTCTTCAAATGTTACTTTGCCTTCAATTCCCAGTCTACCTCTTCCGTAGGCCTAGCTCACAGTTAACTACTATACTATTCAACTGTCCTGCACAACCCATTGTTAATAAAGTCATGCCTTTTGTTATTTAACTTGTATATGACCTGCACATTTTTTGTTTCACCTAATTGACTGAACGCATCTTTGAGGTTAAGAATGTCATGCTACATTAGAGTTTCCTATGACATCTAGCAAAGTGGAAGGTGCAGATCGCTATTTGTTAAGTTTATGCATGAATTTGTTCGGGCTCCAGATCAGGCTAAGCAACCAGAATATTACCACATATACAAAAGACAGAAGGAGCAGCACTGGTCAGAGGGAATAAAAGGGCACTAATCTGGCTGGTGGTGCAAAGTGGAGCTATGAAGCGAGAGCCCCTGGTGAGACAGGCTACTAGGGAGCAGGGTCTCTACGTTGCGGAAGATGAGTAACCACAGACATTGAGCTCTTATCTCTCTCAGCAGTTAACTAGCAAGGCATGACAAAGAGGTGAGGATCCCACAACTGAAACAGCAATGACAAATTCATTTGGATAAACAATCTTTTAAACTATAAACATCCTAAAACTGGGTAGAAGAAAATGTTTAGCCCTTCTTATTTGTGGGAATTATTTAACTGGACTTCCCCCTTCAAAATATTTGGGACATAACCAACTGCATGAATGTTTGTGTGCGAAGGCAAAGACTTTTAGCCCTTTGAGATAGGGAGGGGGCATTACGTGGCTTGAATGGGTGACTGGGCAGCCTCAGTAATGCTGCAGGGTGGGTGGGTTTGGTGAAGAAATTAGCAGGTGCAGAAAAAAGGGGAGATGGCCAAAGACTGCCTTGTGTGACTAAGAAATGAAATATGGCTGTGCCTTTGGTAAACGAGGCTGGGCCAGACTGCCATGGACTTCAGTAGATTCAGGACCCATGTACCAGGTCAGGATTGGCTGTGCAAAGCAAATAGCAGGTACATAACCATGCTTAGCAGTGCAGGGAGCACACAGGCAGCCAGTGTTACAAACCTGGTAGACGGAATCTGGCGCCCGCTGCTACAAATAGGGAACACTCTTGGAAGGCCAGCATGTGTTCCTGGATGATGGGGTGGGGTAGGCATGGTGCAATTAAAGAGTGGGAGGAAAATATGCTGGGTTAAATTAAGTGGAACTGCGAACTCCTAGATTAGTTCAGTAGTAGTCAGTGAACACATTTAGGTTAAAAAGCTATTTTCACTTCTCAATATTGCAATCCGAATAAAGAAATACCTATATATAAAAATAAATCTCTGTTAAATAGATATTTATTTTTATATATATAAAATATCTCTTTTAAATATATATTATAGATGTTATGTATATATATTTAAAACCAGAAGTAATTTAGATTAAAATTTCCAATGTATATTGATTCAGGTAGGTGTTACTGCTATCTATACCTTCACCCTGCTTACTATGCTATTTCAAGTAACTTTAAGCTCATGAATTTACAATGAGGTATAGAGCCTAACCAGGGTGGGACAGAATATGTTCCAGACTAGAAGGGGAATGTATGGCTCCTCAGTGATATTTCCCGTGGAGCACTTGTGCTCCAGTGTACAATTAAGGGTTTCTTCCCATACATCTGAATGTGACCTTTTGGATTCTCTGGCTCTGGCTGGTTTAGTCTCCTGATTCTAACAGTGAGTCTGTTGCTTTGTTGCCTAGGAGTTGATCCGAACATCCAGGCAGCCCTCTTGCAGACCTTAATTATGTACATGATCGCTTCAGAGAGCTGACCAATCTGAAGGTTAGAACACTTGCTTAAAAGAGAAATAAATGGCCATTCTAGCATTGACTGTCCTTAATCCTACTGCAGAAACTGTTTTCATTCTGGGGATGGTGAGTCCTAGAAGATCACAGCCAAGAAGCAGATGTCCTCAGTCACTTCCTCTTAGAGTTAATTCCCAAGAGAGAGCCATCTGGCCACTTGTTTGTTTTTTTTTTTTAAATCACATTTCTAATAGCTGCTCCATTTTCTCAAGGGCTGTTGTAAAATCATTTACTTGACTGTTACATAAGGTCTGCTGTTTTAGGAACCAGGCCCTGTCTTCTTTCATCTTCAACTTTACTTTTAAGGCCTGTTAAGTCCTCCATCTGCTTTTTCACTGTTTTGTCCTTTGGTTCATCTTGCAAAGTTTCTAACAGTATCATAGAGTCCATATGATCTGTGTTGGATTCTCACTGTGATGCCAGAGTTTCACTGTCTGGATTGAGGCCCTTGCTCTTCAAAACTGCTAGACAGTTGTCCTGAAATTTCCCCAGCAGCTCCACCTTTTGGGTCAGGTCCTTTAGTGCTCCCTGAGTTTCAGTCAACTTCTGGTGCAACTGCTTGTTGACAGCCTTTAAGAGCTGATTCTTATCCTTGAGTTCTCATTTCTGCTTACTTTTGTAGCTCTTTTTGACGTTCCTCTTGATGGCTTTCACGGGCAGAGTATCTGCGGCTTTGACCTGCCCATTCTCTCATCTCGGTTTGATGATTTTCGTAACATCATTCTCTGAAACTCCTGGATGAAGAATTCTGGGAACATCGACTTATTTAGACTTAACAGGAAATAAGCTCTTAGAAGTGGCTCGGATTTGTGTGTCTGCAGACAGGCTGCTTGCTCAGCACTGAGTGGGGCTGCAGGGTGTACATTGTCTTAACAACGCTGGTCATTGTATGGAGGTGGCAAAAGCCTGGGCCCCAGGCACCTGCTGCTCCAGCACGCAACCCTCCTGTTCTGATTCAAAAGGTGCTCCGCGGCAACCGCCTCACTGCCGGGCTGATCACGTTGTCCAGTTTTTTAGTTTTGTCAAATGGGAGGGTGAATTTAGCCTCTGTTGATTTCATCACTGTCAGAAGAGAATGTTTAATTGGCTTTATATTAATTTTAAACATGTGTCTCATTTGAGCCCAATTTATTACCTATATAATGCCCTATAGATATAATATTACTCTCCATTAATGGCAGATGGATAAATCACATTAAAATGTTTAAGATAAAGATTTTACTGCTTTTTGGAAGTAAATTTTTTTCAGTGTCGAAGGAAAACTGTTACCACAAGTTTCCTTTTCAAGAATCAGGAACTAGGTACTGCTATCAGTACTTGAATCTTGAAAAATGTGTCATGAGCAGAAGACTATATATATTAGTTTTACAATTAGACCCATACTTCTCAGAGTTGTCTTGCTATATTGAGCTTCATCATTTGATGTGATGTCAGCTCTTAATAGCACAATTTCCAGTACTGTACTACTAACCTCTCGCGTTCCTTTAGCATTTTTAATGGGCTTATTAGCTTTTGCTATAATGCTAGGAAATGCCATTGTCATTTTAGCTTTTGTGGTGGACAAAAACCTTAGGCATCGAAGTAATTGTTTTTTCCTTAACTTGGCCATTTCTGACTTCTTTGTTGGTAAGTTACATCTCTTTATTTAAGATAATTTTTTCCATTTATAACTTATTTCTCAAACCTTAAAATAAGCTTTTGTTATTTCAAGGGACTGTATGAAATTGGGAATGATTAAAAACACAAAATTTAAGGATTAAAGTTCAGGGGAGGCTAGATGGCACTTTAGGGGAATATTACATATATGAAAATCGAGTTTGTAGGGAACTTTTCATCTGAAAACTGTATTTTCTTTTTGTAGAGTAAAATAAGTTGTAGAGATAAGTTCAGAATATTTCAAAAATTGTTTAAGAGTTATTTGTTTCTGAATCTATTTTTCCTTGTATGTTTAGGTTTAAAAGTATCCCTCACTAAGTAAGCATAATTTCCTTAGTATCATAACATTGGAGTAGTAGGAATAATGTGTAGGCTGGTAACCAGCACAATCAGGAAATGGGGACTCAGGTCAATTAAATAGTAAAACTAATATTATTTTATGATACGATATAGAATATCATAAATTATTCCCCACACTAAACTACCTTGCATAGCATATAGTATTATAAGGGAACATAGTAATTAAATTAATCTTTCTTTGAAAACATGTACTTTGTAATTTTTTACTTTCTGATGGTCACTGATCTTTAACAAGGCTTACAATAAGTAAATGTGCAGAAGTGTCAGCTCATGATATTGCTTTATAGCAGCTTCTAGCATAATTTTATCTGTTATTGTCTACAGCAACACAAATGCTTGCATTTATATTAAAATAAAACAAAACTCATGGCATAGTTTTGGCCTGGAACACAGCGTTGACCTTCCTAAGCAGGAGCTCCAGGCTGGCTGGTGTGTGCTGGCTGCATGGGAACAGTAGTGCATGAAGTCAGAGTGGCCAGAATCTATTTAGTGAAGGCCCTAGAATACTAGTATGATTAGGGATCAGAGTTTATTCAACAGGCAAAGTGGAGATGAAAAAATTTTAAAACTGGCGAGTGATTGGGTGGATCGAAGTTTTACCTTAGAGATATCAGAAGAGATGGAATATAGATGGGAGAAGCTGGAGCGGGGGGCAGCTTTGTTTCACAGAGACAACCCTGCAGCAATCTAGATAGAAGCCATGGGATAGGTAAGACTCTGAGCTAGGGTAAAGCTGGAGAAGAAGTCTGGGATGCAGAGCTGCAAGGGTGGGCTCAGGCAGGAGAAAGAAAGATGAGTGAGAGATTGAGTTCTGGGAACTAAGAGAAGTATAAAGCTCTAAATAGAAAGAGGGAACAGTTTTGAGGGGGACACTTATGCTTCTGGTGTTGCATTGATAAAACTCCTGGAGAAAATTTCCAGCTGGAGAGACTGATTTAGGAGTCATGATATAAAAATGACAGGGTCACAGATAAAGGTGGCTGACCAATATAGAAAAATTAAAAGAATGCAACCATTTTGCCATTTCTCTCCTCAATTCTGCCTCTCCATGAAACCAATGTTAAGAGCTTGATGCAAACTCTTTCTTATCATTCCTTCTCCATGCTTGCACAAACACGTACAAACTGGTGTATTTATGTAAAAAGCATATTTATGTAAATGTAAAGAATATTCTGCTGTAAATATATCTAACCCTCTCCTCTTTCTTCTTAGAACTGTAGATCTTCTCGATGACTCTGAGCACTTAAAATTGGTTATGTATTTTGACCAAGTCAAAAGGAGTAAGGCGGAAGGTGGTAGTAGGGAGGAAGGAGATAAAACTATACTTACTGAGAGAGCCTGAGACCTAAAGCTTTTGCACAAAGATGGTTCCAGATAACAATGGAGTGCCTCTGTGTATGGCGCAACATCAGCATCATGGGCTTGAGCACTGCAACATAAAGATGTGGTTTGTCTTTGATTGAGAAATGTCCCTGCCAATGTAGTTACATAGCAGTCTCGGTGGTTCCTGACTACTCAGCAGGTGGGTAGGAAAAGAGATGGCTTTGCTTTTGATGAGAGCAGCTTGACACAGATCAGAGTCTCTATTAATCCCCTAGTCTCATCCTTCACATATTTCCTCACCCTGCCCGCTTCCTCCAGAGGTCCACTTATTTAACGCAATACCTCAGAGGTATTGCGGGTCCAGTTCCAGATCACTGCAATAAAGTGAATACTGCAATAAAGTGAGTCACATGAACTTGTTGGTTTTATGGTGCCTACAAAAGTTCTAGTGCCTACAAAAGTTTTGTTTCTACTATGTGATAGTCTATTAAATATGCAATAGTATTATGTCTGAAGAACAATGTACATACCTTAATTAAAAATTACTTTATTGCCCTGAAGTTTTACTGGCCTGAGTGGCTCCGTTGGTTGGAGCATCATCACATAACTGAAGGGTTGCTGGTTTGATTCCCAGTCAGGGCACGTGTCTGCGTTGTGGACTCAGTCCCTGACGGGACTCATGCAGAAGGTGGCTGATGGGTTTTTCTCTCTTGCATCAATATTTCTGCCTCTCTATCCCTTCCCCATGCTCTTGAAAGGGAATAAAATAAAACTTTAAAAATTACTTTATTGCTAAAAAGTTCTAACCATTATCTGAGCCTTCAGCGAGTCATAGTTCCTTTTTGCTGGTGGAGGGTTTTGCCTCAAAGTTGATGCAAGTGTGGTTTCTGTGAAGCACCATAGAACAAGAAATGCTTATATTCACACAACACAAGAATTAGGAAAGTCTCTGAGAGCTTTTGGTAACTAGATTTGGGTTTTGTGTCAACACCGTTCCTTTTCCTTTGCCTCGCTCAGAGGTACGTCTTTCAGCTCTGAGCCTTGGAGGGGGTGGTGGGCCAGAGTGGAGCCCGTGAGGTTTTCTGTAGCTGTAAGTCAGCAAATCTTACTATATGGGGTCATGAGACCTAAAGCCCTAGAACCATGTGGTGATGGAAGAGCAGACGCGAGCATTACATGGGCTCAGTATTGTAGGCTTTCTGTCCGAATGCTCTCTCCTCACCTATTTCAGAACTGGCGTCCTGAAGAGAGTGTAAATTTGTGGTACCTGTGTAGCTTCCCAGGCTGAATTTAGTGCAGCAAAGATTTGTTGAGGAAAAATTTCAGCTGCAGCTACATTGGGATAAATATACCTCATCTGTACACTAGGAAATAATATACCATCTACATCTATATTAATATCTGTAAAGTTGGTAACTCATGACTGATGTTTCCAACTATGGGTAACTTCTTCACATCTACAGTTGTGTGGCACTTGTGGCCTACATGACTATGTGCTAGATGACCAGACAGGATCTTCAAGGGCAAAGTGTGTTTGCTGCTCACGGAGTCTGAGTCACATTTTCAGGATGGCAAAGTTTATCTTTAGTACCTTCATGCCTGCGTTCAGGTTCTTCTCTTCTCTAACTCTCTGAGTTAGTCAGCTTGGGCCGCTGTAACAATACACTGTAGTCTGGACTTATACAGCAGTGGTTTACTTTCTCATTTACTTGTTTTGGAGGCTGCAAAGTCCCAGAGCAAGGTACCAGCTGAGTCCATTCCTGGTCAGAGCACTTATTCTGGTTTGCAGATGCCTTCTCTATGCATCATCACATAGTTCCCCTGAATATGCAAGGAAAGACAGAGAGCAAGCAAGCTCTCTTGTGCTTCTTCTTGTAAGGGCCCTCATCCTGCTGGGTTAGGGCTTCACCCTCACTACCTCATTTAACGTTAATTATTTCTCTATAGGCCCCATCTCAAATACAGCAACCCTGGGGTCTAAGGCTGAACTCTATGAATGAATTTAGGGCCGACACAAATATTCAGTCCATAACACCCTGCATGCACTCACTGTTGGCCCAGAGAATTCATTCACTGGGGTGTTTAGCTCCCACCACCTTTGGATTGTCATTTTTCTCATGGAAGATGTAGCTTCCTAGCAGGCTTCAGAAAGAAGGTGCAACACCAGACTGGACTGGTGGCAATTTTCATACAAATTGGGCTTCCTTATCCTCATGCACTCATTCATCTGATACCCATTTATTATGAACCAGGAACTTTTTGAGGTGCTGGAGACACAGCAGGGAAAATGGAGGCAAAAATTGCTTCCCTCATGGTGGTTCTATTTCTACTGTGGGCAAAGGTGGGGAGAGAGACAATAAACAATATAAATAAGTACATAAAATTACACAGCATTTTAGAGGGTGATCATTGCTATTAAGAAAAACATAGCAGTAATGAGAGAGAGAAAGTGGGTTTGAGGTGGAGGTTGCAATTGAAACTTCCAGAGTAGGGTTCACTGATCAAGGCACATTTGAGCAAACAGAAGATGCATTCTGGGGGAAGAGCATTTCATGCCCAAGAAAGTGCAAGGGTCTGAGGCAGTGTGTGTGTGGTGTGTTTGAGGCCAGAGGGGCTGGAGTGGAGTGACTGGGGTGAGGGGTAAAGGGACTCGCAGGAGGGGAGGCCAGAGAGGTGGGGCACGGCTGGGGGGAACAAGTCACCTAGGGTCGTCCAGGGCTTCTCTTCTTTCTTCCCCTTCCATCTTTCTTCTTCCTGTTTTTTCACCTCCTCCCCCAACCTTGGTTAGACCTCAGTTTGTGAGCTCAGCAAAGAAAAAATTCAGAGTCAAGGACTCTAGTGCAAGCAGTGTATTTAGCCTTTTAGAAAGAAAATCACAAAGGCAGAAGAAGTGAGCCGTCTGGGCTGTGTGGACCCAGGAAACAAGTTGCAGGAACAAAAGGAGGGACCTTGGTGCTTAGGAGAAAAAAAGCAAAAGATACACAGCTAAGGAAAGAAGTGGAGGAAGGCATGGATGTGATCAGGAAAGAGAGAGCATGCACTGGGTCCTTTATCTTAAAGTTTTTATCTGTTTTCTATAGGCAGGGATTTCAGGGAGGTCTTGAGGGAGGGTCTCAATGGAATATTCGCCAGCTTTCCAGGTGTGTCTTTTCTAGATCTTGGTCTTTACTGACTGATTGGCACTAGGGTAGGGGGTCATTAGTCACTGAAACTGGACCTGAGGCAGCCATGGCGTCACTTGTCTGCTTTAGCTGCTTTTCTGGGCCTGGAGCAGAAATATTACTGAGGCCTAGATGTTATCTCTAGTTTGACCAAAACTCTGTCTCTGTAGTCAATAGACCTGAGGCTCTGTTCCTAAGATTATTTGATGCGGGTTAGAACCTCATTGTCCCAAGGTCTTAATGCTTAAGGAAATGGTCATGCAAAGGCTTGTATGGGAGTCTGTGAGGCTATTCTGCCTTACCTTGTGCCCCCTCTAAGGAGGACTAAACCACATGACTAGTAATGTGAAAGGTCAGAGGGTCTTAAACTACATTCTAGAAGACAGAAAAGTTACCCTGGGGCAGGGCCCTAACCTATAATAGCTGTTTTCTCTAGCTTTGCCTGTTGCCAGGCACCTGGGACTTTCCGGCCTGGTGACATTCCATACCTGGCCTATTGTTCCTGCTCTGCTCATGCCTGTCTAACTGCCTTCTCTGTCACTTTCACCGCCATCTTTTAACACAGCTTGTTTTCTCTCACTCCCCTCACTTCCTTAATTTGTCATGCCAAAGGCTTATTGTTCTTTTAAAGGAAGTGGCTCTTAGTTTTGCTTAGACCCAGAAGCATGATCCCAGTGTGGAAACTGTAGGAACAATATATCAGAAGTTTTTTGATTCACAGTTTTTGAAACTTTTTTGCAATGAGCCACAAATAGCTCCACCATTCAACAAGTTAGAGGAACTGAGCATGACATTTGTACTAAAACATTAGTTAGCACACAAGGTGACAGCAGGGTTTTATTAAAACCAAAAGGATAAACTAGAGCCTGGTTTAAGTTGGTAGTTCAAACAGCTTCTAAGGTTGTGGATATACTTTTCCTCTTCCACGTAAATCACCAGGTATGAAAAAGACCCTTTCACTCCCACCCTCTCTTTAACCTTTAATCCAATAATAGGAGTCTGTGATGCAAATGATTCCTGGAATTGCACTCTTTTTTCTTACTCCGGGAGAAGTGAGTGTGTGTGAAAAATACTCATCTGTGGAAGATTGGAAGCTTCAACTCTAGGCTGAAGTATAATGAATGTCTCTGTTTTGAAGATACTTCCATTTATCTCAGGTGAAGCTGGTGACCTATTTTATGCCATAGATGTGCATGTGCATGCACACACTCACACACATGGAAGGCACAATAAGGAGGTTTAGTTATCATAAAAAATATAATTGAAACACAAACAAGCAGGCAATTTGAACTATGTGTAAGAACCGAACACACAACTCTTCATCTCTATGGTGCCTGGTTCTCAGATTTGTATATAAACCTACGTACAGACTACTAAATTCTGTGTTTTCTTTTGCTGGTTATGAAACCTCATCGTTGTATCCTCATGGCATTACTGCTCCAAAGTATGTGTGCCCGATGCTTCAAAAGGCCAAAACTCAAGGTGTCAGAGTTTGCAGTACGGACAGGCTAACTGACCACGGAGGTACCGGCTGAGAAGATGGGGCCCTAGTAGTTCTTCAAATTCATCTTTAGAAAGTAAAGAGTTCAGGCTTCTTTTATGTTAAGGGAAGGGAAAATGGGAGGAACTCCTTTAGTAAAAACTCAAGCCCTGAGCAGAATTCCTCTAATGATTAAAGCAGGAACTGTAAGCCTTAAGGCCAAGGAGACAACACAGGCTTGAACAAAGTGGAGACAGGGAGACTGAGCATTTCACTGTTGCAGTGGCATCTTATTTGGGGAGAACTGCAGGGTTTCCTTCATGCTTCCCTTTCCTTTTTCTTCCTTTTACCTCTACTATTGTTCTTTATAATAGGCTAACTTGGTCTGATATAAAAAAATGACAATTCCTGCAAAGTGCCTGATAAAATATAAAGATACTCAACAAAAACAGATTTCAACTGAGCTTCCACCTAATAGATTACATTTTTAGTGAGTAGTGCTACCTGTCTAAAATGTCAATGCAATTAAAACCCCCTGCAAAGCTAATGGAAAAGGAGCCCAGTTTAGTCATTTCTCATGGTTAAGCAGGTGTGGCGCTGAACCATATCACTTATATATTTCCTCATTCAGTGAAGGGTGGTGCTTAAATCAGGGGCTCTGAAGTCATGCTGCCTGGTTTTAAATCCACCTTTCACTTACCAGCTAAGTAGACCTTGGTTAATTATGTCTCTTTTTTTGAGCTTCAGGTTCTTTACTTGTTAATTTAGCATGTCCCTACATCACGACAGTTCCTATGAAGGTTAAATGAGATGATACACACCGCGCACATAGCACAGTGCGTGGTATATGGTAATTGCACAATGGATGTTAGCTATTGTTAATTTATTTAAGTCATTTTGGCCAGTTCTATAAGTTGTGGAAAACACAAAGGTTGACTTACAGTATGGTCCCAAACCTCAGCAGAAACGAGTTAAAAAATGACAATATAAAGTAGAATATTTTTGTGCATGAAGGAGAGAGAGATAAGTAAAGTGCTAGGAAAGTGCGGTTGACAGAGAAGTCACTTCTGCCAAGGAAGTTTCAAGAAAAATGATAAGGAGAAATTCACTTTTTGAACTGAGTGAAGAATAAGAAAGAAGTGAATAGACTTCTCAGTGGAAGACAGGAGGACATTCTAGGGCAAAAGAATGCTGTTGGCAAAGGCAAAGAGATGTGAAAATGTGAGATGTGTTTGAGGGATGAGTGGCCCATTCTGTTTGGGTTGCATCATGAACATAAAGATGATTCATACTGTATGTGGCTGAAAATACAAGCTAGGACCTAAACTTAACTTGGGAAGTAATAAGGAGCCATTGAAGATATGAGGCTTAGGACAGCTATTATAAAAATAGTATTTAAAGAATGTGTAGGAATCAGTCCTGAGTTTGATGATGAGATACCATGAATTTCTAAACTATAATCAAGCCATTTTTTGTCAAATCAGATACCTCAATGTGTGGTGTACTATACCTGTTTGTTTTCATTGATATGTGCTATTTTTTACCCTATTTTTTCCTTGTATAGGTGTGATCTCCATTCCTTTGTACATCCCTCAGAAGCTGTTCAACTGGAACTTTGAAAACCAAACCTGTACATTTTGGCTCATTGTTGACTATCTTTTGTGTACAGCATCTGTGTACAACATCGTACTCATCAGCTATGATCAATACCAGTCAGTCGCCAATGCTGTGAGTCAAACCATTAATTTATCTTCCTTAGAAGAGTATGTACTTGTAAATTTTGGGTTCCCAAACAAAAAAATTATTTTTAAAGATTTTATTTATTTATTTTTCTAGAGAGGGGAAAGGGAGGGAGAAAGAGAGGGAGAGAGGCATCGATTTCTGAGAGAAGCATTGATCAGTTGCCTCTCACATGCCCCCAACTGGGGACCTGGCCTATAACCCAGGCATATGCCCTGACTGGGAATCGAACAGTGACTTTTCAGTTTGCAAGGCAATGCCCAGACCACTGAGAAAAAAACTTTTAAAATCTAATTTTTTGTTTTATTGACAAACCTTAAAGGAGCCTGATTATTCTTTTCTTATGTGGCACTAAATTCTCACTGTCCCTTAGTGAACATTTTCTGTATGTGATTTGGTTAAGTTAATCACCTTCATGCTACTAAAATGGGAAGGCATCAAAGAAAATCCAAGGCAAGTTGTCAGAAGTGGTATACTGAGTCCATAGTAGGTTGGATATACATGAGGTTCACAGTAGGTTTATCAGTTCCACTCCTCAGACAAATTGAGATCTGAATATTTTCCTCAGGATGGAACTTAGTGAGCAAGTAGAAAGACTCCCAGACTTATGAATATCATAAGAAAACCAGTTTTGAATGGCCAGTTTTCAACGGCTAAAGGAAAAGACAGTACGCAAGAAACTATGGTTTATAAAGTAGAACCAATGTAAAGTCCTGATGCCAGTTTAGGATACATGCCAAGAAAACCCAAGCTCACCCAAAATTTGGAATAGTCTCATTAACAAGTTAGCGATAAGTCTGAAGCAAGCTAAAGAACAATATCAGCAATAAAATAAGGGAGAAAACTTGTCCTTGATGCAATTAAGGACAAGGGCTTAAAGGGGGCCATAGAAATGTGGGGCAGTGATCTGAAATCTTTGAAACCAAGATGGGAAACTCCCTTCACTCCTGAGTCCCAGGGTCCCAAATCTTTGGAGACTACTGTATGAACTACTGTATTACAGGGCTTTTGCTAAGTGCTGGGATCAAGAAATGAAATCAGCAGAGTCTATTTTTGAGATGCATAATAGTCTAATCTGGAGACAGACTCATAAACAAATGGGTTCCTTACAATGGACTAAGTGTAGCTGAGCCGCCATATGGCCAGGAAGAAAGGGAGGATGGTATAGCGGGACAGCCAGCTACTTGGCATTGGGTACTACACTGGCACCGGCGTCCACTGCAGTTGGTACTGGACAGACTATGGAAGAAATGCAGAGCAGTTTGGATAAGCAGTTCAGATCTCTATAATCTTATGTTTCTCAGATGGTAGGTCTTGACCCATTATTGAGTCATAAAATCAGCTCAGTGGGTCGTGACCAGTTGCTTTTTTTTGAATGGAAAAATATAGACAGAAGCAGAATAGAGTATAATAAAAAATTAGAATATAGAATATCAAGGTACTTTGCATATTATAAGCATATTATTTTATGAGTATTTTAATCTATGTACTTGGTTCTGATATAAAATGTATTTCTTCCTTTAGGTCACAGTTAAAATGTTTGAAAAGCAGTTTTAAAGAGCCTCCTCCCATTTCCTTTCTTTCTGGGTTAATATTTCTTTTTAATCTTCACGGGGTGTTCGTAGGACTTGCTTCACTGAATATTCAAACTCTTGGATCTACCTCAGGTCTGTGGGAAAGTAAAAGACAGCTTGGCCAGTTAGAAAAAAGTGCTTTAAAGTTAAAGAGATGATGGGTGATATGCACAGGGGAAATGGGTGGGTTTTTTCCTTGGTCTTTTAACAAAATAATATTAATTAATTGATTAATTAATTAATTTCCTCACCTGAAGATATTTTATTGATTTTAGAGAGAGGGGGGGAGAGAGAGAGACAGAGAGAGAGAGAAACATTGATGTGAAAGGGAAATATTGACAAGTTGCCTCCTGTACCTGCCCCAGCTGGGAATCAAACCTGAAACCTAGGTATGTGCCCTGACCAGGAATGGACTTCACAACCTTTTGGTGTATGGGATGGTGCTCCAATCAACTTAGCCAGCCAGCCAGGTCAATAATTTTTATTTTTTAATTACTGTTGACCTACAATATTATATTAGTTTCAGGTATACTACCACATGATTAGACATTTATATAACGTATGAAGTGATCGCCATGATGAATCTAGTACCTATCTAACACCATATATAGTTATTATAATATTACTGTCTATATTCCCTACTGTACTTTACATGCCTATGACTATTCTGTAACTACCAATTTGTACTTCTTAATCCCTTCACCTTTTATATCCACTCCCCCAACTTACTTCCATCTGGCAACTGTCAAAATGCTCTCTGTATCTATGAGTCTTTTCTGTCCCGCTTGTTTATTTATTTTGTTTTTAGATTCTGCATATAAGTAAAATCACCTGGCATTTGTCTTCTCTCTCTGACTTATCTCACTTAACACAATACCCTCTAGATCTATCCATGTTTTTGGAGATGGCAAGATTTCACTCCATTTTACGGCTGAAATATATTCCATTGTACATATGTACCATTCTTTTTTAAATTTTTATTTATTTATTTTTATTGTTCAAGTACAGTTGTCTCCATTTTCCCGCCACCGCTTCCCCTGTCCCACCCACTCCCACCTCCAACCCTCAATCCTTCCCTGCGCCATTTTTTTTTTTCCATTCATCTATTTTGGATACTTAGGTTACTTCCATATCTTGGCTATTGTAAACAATGCTGCTATGAACATATGGATGTATATGTCTTTTCAATTTAGTGTTTTGGGTTTCTTCAGGTAAATACCCAGAAATGGAATTGGTGGGTCCCTCTTTGTCTCTTGTCATAGCTTTGGTTTTAAAACCTGTTTTGTCTGGCATAAATATTGCTACCCCAGCTTTTGTTTGTTTGTTTTAATTTTTGTGATATGTCTTCTTCCATTCCTTTACTTTCATTCTGTGTGTGTCTTTTGATATGAAGTCTCTTGTGGAGAGCCTGTGTAAGGGTCTTGTTTTGTTATCCATTCAGCCACCATATCTTTTGATTAGAACATTTAATCCATTTGCATTTAAAATGATTATTGAGCCCTGGCTTGTGTGGCTCAGTGGACTGAATGCCAGCCTGTGAACCAAAGGGTCACTGGTTCAATTCACAGTCAGGGCATATGCCTGGGTTGCAGCCCAGGTCCCTGGTTCAGGGCGTGCAAGAGGCAACCAGCCACAGATTGATGTTTTTCTCTCTCTTTCTCCCTCTCTTTCCCTTGCTTTAAAAATAAATAAAATAAAAATCTTAAAAAAAAGAATATGTACAAAAAGTAAAAATAAGATGATTATATTGATTGGTATGTAGATATTGCCATTTTATTATTCATATTTTTTATCTTATTTTTCTTCTTCTTAAAGCAGACCCTTTAACATTTCTTTTAATACTGATTTGGTGGTGATGGACTGTAGCTTTTTCTTGTCTGGGAAGCTCTTTATCTTTTGATTCTAGATGATAAGTTTGCTGGGTAGAGTAATCTTGGTTGTAGATCCTGGCTTTCCATCTCTTTGAATATTTTGTGCCAATCCCTTCTGGCCTGCATATTTCTGTTGAGGAGTCAGCTGGTAGTTTCATGGAAGATCCCTTCTAAGTAACTAACTGCTTTTTTCTTCTTACTTTTAAGATTTTTTTTTGTCTTTAATCTTTGGCACTTTAATTATGACGTGCCTTAGTGTGGGCCTCTTTGAGTTCATCTTGTTCGGGACTCTCTGTGCTTCCTGGACTTGTATGTCTATTTCCTTTGCCAGGTTAGGGAAGTTTTCTGTCATTATTTTTTCAACTAGGTTTTCAATTCCTTGCTTTCTTTCTTCTTTCAGCACCTCCCATGATGCGAATGTTGGTGCACTTGAGGTTGTCCCAGGTGCTCCTTACATTATCCTCATATTTTTGGATTCTTTTTTTTGTTTTCACTCTTGTGATTGGGTGTTTTCTGCTTCCTGATATTCCAAATTGCTGATTTAATCCTATGCTTAATCTACTATACTACTGATTCCCTGTAATGTATTCTTTATTTCAATTAGTTTGTTCTTCATTTATGACTGGTTCTTTTTAATGTTTTCTAAACCCATTTTATATGTCCTGTCTCTTTGTTGAAGTTCTCACTAAGTTCACCTACTCTTCCACTCAGTTCATTGAGCATCCTTATACCCAGTGTTTTGAACTCTCTACCTGGTAAATGCTTGTCTCCATTTTGTTTAGTTCTTTTTCTGGAGTTTTGTTCTGTTCTATCATTTGGGACATCTTTCTTTGCCTCCTCATTTTGGCTGCCTCCCTGTGTTTGTTTGTATGTATTAGGTAGAACCTTTACATCTCCTGGTTTTGTTTAGAGTGGCTTTATGTAGTAGATGTCCTGTAGGGCCCAGTGGCACAACCTCTCAAGTCACCTGAGCTGGGTGTTACAGGTAAGCATCATCCTATTATAGTTCAGCCTTGATTGCTGTTGGCACATGAATGGGATAAATTTACTTCCAGGCTGATCAGCTTTGAGGATGGGCCACGGCTGCCATGGAGGATTTGCTCTGCCGGGACAGACCCTAGGGAGCAGAAGTCACTTCATCAGGGCTCAGGTACCTGCTGAGTCCACTTCTGGAGTGTGTTGCTTATAGAGGATGTTGGGTGGTGCTTTGGTATGGTCTGAAGCTGTCCACTGGGCACACTGGTTCTGGGGCCTCCCAGGAGGTGCAGGCCAAAGTCAGCCACCACATGTGCCCTGCCTGGGCTAGCAGATAGCTGAAATAGCAGATAGCTGCTACTTGTGCTGGGCTTGGAGGTGCCCAGGAAAGGCCAACCCATGAACCAAGGCCAGGTGCTGCTAGTACTCGACCTGGGGCCACTTAGCAAGAGGTTCAGGGCACACCAAGACAAAGAGGCTACTTGTTTGGGAGGTTTTAGGAAAGTCAGTAGCATCAGTCAAGACAGGCCAGTTGTATGGAAAATCCCCTGGAAAGAGCTTGGGTGGGCCCGCAAGTCGGATGGGGCAGGGTCTCAGGGTATCAACAGGGTGGGGTGAACAGTGTTAGTCAGGTTGATGGAGACTCAGAGATAATGGCCACCTGCCAGCTCTGTGAGGGGAGAACTCAGAAGAAGAACAATAATCTCTGCCAGCACCTCTGTCTGGGAGAAAGCTATCCCTCCAGGTCCCACCCGATGCCAGACAGTTCAGTTTCTTCCCATATGTCCAAGGTGACTTTCAAGCTGGTGCCCCAGCACTAGAGCTGAGAGAGAGTGAGTTTGAGTGCATCCATGTGGGCCCTTTAAGAGGAACATCTGTGGCTCCAGTAACTCTGTCTTAGCCACAATCCCTGCTGGTTTTCAGTTAGAAGTTGTGGGGACGTCTCATACTGGCATTGGAACTCTGGACTGAGGAACCTGGTATGGGGCTGAGACTCAGCACAGCTGTATGAAACTGAAGGAATCCTTCAAAGCTGACTGGTGCTTGTAGGAAGTGGTCATAGGGAAGCTGGGCTCTTGCAGTAGGTGAAAGTAGCGGAGACAGCATGATAAGGCAGGGCTGTGTGCTGAGCCTGGGAAATGGAAATCTGACCATAACTTGAAAAAGGAAGGCTCCATGCAGATGGCAAGTGCATGATTACAGTGCTCAGACAAGTTTTTTGGAGGGGCAGGTTCCAGGGCTGAAGCAAGAGTGGGTGCAGGAATGCAGACTGTATAGCTGGAAGGAATGGATATTAAAATGCATGCAGAATTAAGACAGTAAGAGGAGAGTATTTCTTGAGCTGCCAATGAAAAACGATGCTTGATGGTAAAATCAAGAACATGGAAAGCATTGCTGCAGGGGAAGTGGCAATGTTCTGAGTAATGGACATATTCTGTAGTGGGCGAGAGAGGGGCCACTGACTGATTTCAGGGAGGCCACCCCAACTGTCCTGAGTCTGGGTTCAAGCAATGCTTGAGCTGTCTATCTCTCAAAAGTGCTATGCAGAGATGAGGAGATTGGCATCCTCTTCTCAATTCCCTTAGATGTCCATTATCCCATTCGACCTTCTGCGTAATAGAAAGGAGATCACTTTCTACCATCCTGCATTATATTATTACAAAGGCTGAACAGAGCAATTAAAAAACTAAATGCAGTTTTATGACCATCTGGGTATTGTTACCATCTTCATAATCATTAGATTTAGTGCAAGAGATGTATTAATTAGTGGCATGAGAAGCAGAAGGCATAAAAGCCTGTCATCATACATGGGAGCTTGTTTTCAGCACCATGTGCATTTTAGTTTAGCCTCAGAAATACCAGTAATTTGGTAAAAAAAAAAAAAAAAAACCCAACAAAAACAAAAAACCCCCCAAAACTTCCCTGCAGTTTTAAAAATAATTCAGTTTAAAAGAAACAAAAGCAGTTTTATCTTATTTCTAGCCATCATTGAGCCCTTCCCAACATGTACAATCCATCAAAGAAAAGCAGTGCTTGGCAATGTTGCACCCTTTTATATAATAAAAATGAGGGAACATGGTAGAACAAGATGTAAAAATTTATGGATAAAGTAGCAGAAGAAAGCTGGTGAAAAGAGAGGCATGCTCTAATTTCATTTCTTTCCCTTCAAGTGAAGAAATCAGAGAAATGTGGAACATTTTAATTAGGAAAAGAAACCTTACTAATCTAAAACAGGTCCCCTTCCAACATTCTTCATTCATACTTTCTCCCTTAGGTTGGGTAGTGTTTGGTCTTGGGTATCTTTAGATTTCTTACAGAAGATATTCTTGAAAATTTCAGGATTTATCCAAGATCATTGGGGCCTGTGATCCAAGAAAAATCCTTACTCAGAGAACTATATTTTCCCCTGTAGAAACCTGTTGTGAATAAGTGGATCTAGAATATTCTTCACCCTTAAAAAAGATGGTGGTGCTCGCCACAGCCATGTCTCTTGAAGTGGCTAGTCACAGTGTTGGCATCTTTTTGTCAGGTGCAAACCTTTATAGAAAGAAATGATTTGGTAATGCTCATTAACCCTATAGTATCTCTTCACAGCAAGTGTAAACAACTTTCTTTTCATGTGCCATCTTCTTGGAAGTGATATTTTTCTTTCTCTTTTCGATCCTACCTTAAAGAATCAGCATGAACTGCATAATAGATTCTTCCTTTATTAGAATCAGGAAAGCCAGTTACTTTCAAACTTTTTTTTGACTGTGACTACAGTGAGAAATGCATTTTATACTGTGATTTCAGTACATGCATTTCTCTCTATATACATTTATCTATATTCCCAAAGCAAAAGTCTCATCAAATAATACATACATACATATACCCTTACAATGTGTGATTCATTTTGACATGGAAAATCCTATTACGTTAAAAAAAGAAAAAGCTGGTCATGATCCAGCTGGCAGATTAGGGAATAGTAAGAAAATGCACTCAGTTTCCGTTCTTTAATAGTTCAGCTTTTGACATGTTCTACGGTGTCGAGAGGTTCAACCTTGAGAATACACCCTTCCTCTTTAAAATCACTAAGAAAGTCTGCATCTTGGTTCAGGCTCCACCGAAACTGAACCCTCTGTCCTGCCCCACATCTTGTTACCCAGGTCCAGTTAATGTCCCCCCCTCTTCACATCCCAGAAACTCCTGAAGACCTAAGGTATTCTTTATGCAATCAACATATGCTTCATAATACTGAAAATAACTTATTTGGCCTCTTTTAGGTCTCTTACAGAGCTCCACGCACTGGGATATGGAAGATCGTGGCTTTGATGGTGGCCGTCTGGGTTCTGGCCTTCTTAGTGAACGGGCCACTAATTTTAATTTCAGATTCTTGGAAGACACAGAAAGAGCATTGTAGCCCTGGGTTCATTTCAAAATGGTATGTCCTTGGCATCACGTCATTGCTGGAATTCCTGGCCCCACTCTTCTTAGTGGCTTATTTCAACATCTATATTTACTGGAGCCTATGGAAGCAGCGCAGTCATCTCAGTAGAGCTCAAAGCCCTCCTGAATCCAGTCCTGCCTCTTCAAGTAACTCTGGACACTTGTTCAAGTGTGGATTGTTTTCAAAGGCATCTCTTGCTGAACCGAAGGAAGCATCAGCACCCCTTCATTTAGAAAGACAACAAAGAAAAAGCAGCCTCTTGTTTTCCGTAAGAACCCAGAGGAATAGAGATATAAGTGCTTCCAAAGCAGGCTCCTTCTCCCACTCAGATAACCTAACTCGTCACCAAAAAGAATATCTTGAACTGCTTAGAGCCAGGAAATTAGCCAAATCACTGGCCATTCTCTTAGGGGTTTTCATCCTTTGCTGGGCTCCTTTTTCTCTGTTCACATTTGTTCGTTCAATTTACAGCCCAGGTCAGCATGCTGAAACATTTGTGTACGATATCACATTTTGGCTTCAGTGGTGTAATTCCTTTGTCAATCCTTTTTTGTACCCATTGTGTCACAAACGTTTTCAGAAGGCTTTCTTGAAAATATTTTGTGTGAAAAAGCAACTCATACAATCATCTAATCGGTCAGTGTCCTCTTAAAGACAATTGTATTGCTTACATACATTTTAGGCTTAATCTCCTCTAAATGAATTTTGTCTGGGTTTCATCCTGCCCTTTCCACTCTACCAAAAATGTCCATATAATTATAACAGTTGAACACTTAAAAAAAATTAGAACCTGGAACTCTAGAGAAAATTATTCAGTAATAACAGTGTAATTAGAAAATAATATTTTTGTAAACTCATAGCCACAAAAGCACTGCATTTTTCTTCATCACCTCTTTCTTGTCTTTTAGGTCTTGATGTCATATCAGTGGTAAAATTCAGAGTTTTCTTTTTTTATGATCATTGTTTGCTACAGTGTTCAGTACATTATCCTTTTTATTTTATAGTGATGAGAATTATTAAGTTTTCAAACTGCTTGCTAAAATATACAATAAAAAAGGATCTGTATTGCCCTCTTTACTGGGTGGGCCACACTGTTAGGATCAGTGGGAAGGAGAGTTGGGGGTTGAGGTGGCAGGAGCAGGAAGTGAGCGAGGACCCACATGGAGGAGCGAAGGGCACACGTACGTCCAGACTCCATATTCCTAATCCCAGGCAAGAAGACTGTGGGACGGTGGAGGAAAGAGCAAGTAACTGCAGCTTGCACAGGTCCTCGGGGAAGTTATGCTGGAAAAGTCAGTGATCATAGGATGAGAGGGTGAGGGCCAGGCAATGGTCACCAATGGATTGAAAAGATGGATTGAAAAGAGGGCTTTCTTTCTGCCCTCTTCTCCAAACGTCCACATCAGCTAAAATTAGCCTGTGAGAAAATATGAAAGAAAGAGAAAGGCTCAGAGATGAGGAAAGGACTATATAATTAAAGCTGATGTATCTGATATAACATTCATAGAACTTGTAGCTGTCAATCTTTATTAATAAAATAGCTTTCTGTATTTATTTGATGTCTTTAACCCACGTGCCTACTGTTTCACATTGTAGCACTCAAAGTGATTCATTTATTATGCAGTTAAGGAAAGTTATACCTTACTGATGAGTCACATTTTATTCTGGTGAACAAAATTATTCTGGTGATGTTTTGTTCTTTCTGTCATTATCAATTTTTTTTCAGTATTCTTTGCCTGTCTTTGCTATAACATTTCATTTTGATCTTATAGTTAACTCCATCTCTCCTAGAAGGCTTTATCATTGTTGTTTCTATAACTTCTCAGAGTTTTTACATAGTTTAGTCATTTTAATATTTCTCAGATCTTTTAAAACTTGGATTAATTTCAAACACTAAAATATGAACATTTTTTAAGTACATAAATGCTTAGAAAAGCACATTATTTTTAAGCACATTCTTCCTTGATTGGGTTAAAAATTGGAGGTACATGTTTAAAATTCAATAGTTATTTTAAAAAATTGAGAAATAAAGCCCTGGCTGGTGCAGCTCAGTGGAATCAAAGGGTCACTGGTTCGATTCCCAGTTAAGGCACATCCTGGGTTGCGGGCCAGGTCCCCAGTAGGGGGCATGTGAGAGGCAACCATACATTGATGTTTCTCTCCCTCTCTTTCCCCCTCCCTTCCCCTCTCTAAAAATTAAAAAAAAAAAAAAAAGAAATAAATGCACAACTTTTTATAAAGTTGTTACATGCCAGCTATTGGTTTTAACATTTATAAATGAGTAAGTATGAATCTCATATAATCATTGGGGACTTGAATGTTTATCAAATAGAATGGCTTCATGAAAACCTTTTACAGTTGAACCTCAGGGGAACATGCCTAAATATTCATATGTATTTTCTAACATATAGAGAATATAATATATAGTACTTTGCTCAATCTAAGATGTCATGAATGTAAAACATACTGTTATTTTATTTACCACTATAAAAGAGAAAATGCAAAAATTGTCTCTAAAATAATACTTGAAAAATTTCACTGATAGTAAGCCCAATTCTGATTTCGGAGTTGTTGAAAAGTGAGTGATGTGTATCTTACAAGTAGTGAAATATGATATGTGTACAATAAATATATAGAATATGGCTAATCTATGAAATTAGAGTTTGAATAAATAAATACTGTTGATAACAGATTCATGTAGTCCTTACACAAATGTTTATGAAGAATCTATCATGTGTTAGCTACTTACTGCAAACATGCCTATGAACCTTGCCACTATGATTGAGATTCCCTGAGGTAAGAGATTGACTTTGGCGTTCTCTTAATACAATGCTAGGCACACCATAGGTACTCAGTAAACAGCTGTTGAAAAGGCATTTTCCTTAAAAATGAAATGTAAATCCTAGTTTTTAAATGCAAACATTTAAAATTTGTACTGGAATAACTTTGAAATGTTTTTCATTATAACAAAAGCAATATGTACTTATCATAAAAAGACAATAATAAAACAATTTCTATACCCAAGAAGCAACCAAATTATCAGTTTGGTATAGATGATACTAGAGGGAAGAAAATGTAATTCCATATTTTAGAAACATATATTTGTCTATCTAAACTCCTACCTAAAATTTTCATGATATTTCCAGGTGAGTCCTTTCATATAATGAAGGCTGCTATTTTAGTATAAGAAATTACCATCCTCTTCCCCAAATAGAGTTGGTTTATAATACCTATTCAATTTTAAATTAAAAAATACTTGAATTTAAATTGGTTTAAAATATTTTAATACAAAATATTTAATTTTCAATAGGTATTTTTAAAAGATACTATTTATTTACTTTTTAGAGAGGAGGAAGGGAGGGAGAAAGAGAGGGAGAGAAACATCCATGTGTGAGAGATCACATCAATCTGTTGCATCTGACATGCCCCCAACTGGGGAACCTGGCCTGCAACCCAGGTATGTGCCTTGACTGGGAATCGAACCAGTGACCTTTTGGTTCACAGGCCAGCACTCAGTCCACTGAGCTACATCAGCCAGGGCTCAATAAGTATTTTTAAAATATTTATTAACTCATGTAAAATTCAGACCCAACTCCCTGACATAATTGGGAGAAAATTCCTTAGAATATTGGTTCTGAAGTGTTGGCTTCAGTTGGCCTATACAGAAATGGATTCAAGAAGAATAAAAATAGATTTAGGCATATAAATACCAATTATGACAGACTCTTTAGGATTAGACTTTTTATGAGTCCCGAGGGCTTTAGATATCCATGACAGAACAATCATAACTATTTTACAGAGGGGAATTTTGTGGATTTTTGGTGACTATTCAATACTTTCTTGTAGCAAAGATTTTGGCATTTGAAGAAACTTTTTCACATTAGTATTTCAGAAAAAGAGAAATTCTAGCATACAAAGTAAATTTTTTGTTCTAATAATTGTTATTAGTCAAGGTTGCGTCAAGAAAACCATGTTAATCATTTCAAACAGAAGGCATTTAATACAGGGAATGAGATAATACAGGATATTAGGAAGCTAAAAGAGCAAGAAGTGGATGTTGACATAACCCAGACATTAATAACTTAAGAAAGCAAGTACTCTCTGTAGGGATAGAGAGAAATAAAAGAGAATCTAGAACCTTGAAGCAGTCCCTGGAGAACTGATGCTTGGAGCTCCGATTGTTGTCTGATGCCCTAGTTAGGGTTTGGACCACCAAAGGGGTGAGACCAGCTGGTGCTCACACTACCATGGTAGGTGAGGCAGAGCAGGCCTGGTGGCTGCTGGTACTCCAGGCCTCGTAAAGCAGAAGCATTACTTGGAAAAGATGCTGGAAGGATGCCTAGCCAAGCTAGATGCCCTAAGTGAGTTTTCTTCTCAGGGCCTCCTGCCTTCCAATCTCTTGCCGGTGCCTCCCATTAGTGGAACCTAATTGAAAGCCAGTTGACAAGGGAGTCTGGGAAATACATGACTTCTAGCCTCAGCTTAAAGTTGTGTAAAAAAGGTAGGCTTGAAGCTAATAGGTAACAGGTAATTGGCAAATTCTATCCTACATTTAAGCATAATAAAATAGAGCTTTGTCTTTAGGGACTTAACATCCTCAGTTTTAACTGTATACAGGCAGCCTGCTGGTCCATAACATTGTAATTTGTGATTTTCTTGAGGCACAAATTCAAATCATGTACCCTCAGGCTGGTATGCTGAGTGATTTGGCTGCTAAGCCTAGCAATCTCATTCTTGACCTCTATTCTTATCACGCGGACCACGGTGCTCAGGGAGTGTTCAACACTTTTGTGTTGGTGAAGGAAGAGAGGGAGGAATCAGGAAGTCCAGGGAAGTGTGGAACTAATCAGTCGTCACCCATATAGGCGTGGTTTCACTATTACCTCAAAACAGAGATTTCGAGCTGGTGGTTCCTGGATATATCTGGTTTATGGGTTGATTTTGTTGTTATTGTTTAAACATTTTGGAATTTAACATTAGATTGAGAGTTTTTTTCAGGCTTTTTTGAGAAACTGGAAGATCAAGCAACAGGGGGACTATGTTCCCTCAAGAAAATACTTTGCTGATTCTGAGTAGTGGCTGCCTTGTGCAGGCAGGGGGACGCCCTTCAGTCCGTCTCAGTGCCTCTCTCCTTCATTTTGTCGCCTTCATTTACCTGTCTGTTCCCTTGAGGCATCTGCACTGCAACTCCTCTTCTATATGGAAAAAAAAAAAAGTGATTTATAAAACTATTTGAGTAAGTTTTATGTTTTTGGCTCTTTCAGTTACGGTGCTGTGGTTACAAGGGACAGAAACACAATTTGAACACCTGGGCAAAAGTGAGCAGATTGGTTTCCACCCCCAAGTGCATAAAGACTGTGGCGGGAGGCCCTCCAAGGATGACTACACCCAGAGACTCTGTGACAGCTTGACTTTATAATGTGGTTTCTCCACAATGAATGTTCTTGTCCTTCTTGATCAGATAGGAAAAAGGCTTCTCCGAGTAACAGTGAGAAAAAAATTATAAAAAAGATAAATTGGGTGTCCAATGGGTATCTTGTGGGTATCCCAGAATCAATCCCTACAGGGGAAAGTGGATACATATGCTGCAGACTAGTGTCTTTTTGGAGGACGTAGGGTTAGGCCCATTAAAACTATGTGACCGGAAGAGGG